AAATTGAGAGAGGTTTGTAAAAGCATACAGACTTTCAGCGATAAGATGGATAAGGTCTAAGGATCTAATTAATGTGTAACAGGATAACTCTAGCTGATAACACTGTATTGTATTATCGAAATTTGCTAGGACAGTAGAAACTTAATTGTTCTCACACACATATATATATATTTAAAATACATATGTATATTAAAATAAGTGATGAATGTGTTAACAAAATGGGTAACATAAATCGAATCACCACAATATACACTTTAAATGCCTTACAGTTTTGTCGGTTATACCTCACTAAAGCTGAAAATACATATACCCCTTTTTTTCTGATTACAAAAGTAATTCATAACTAATGTAGACCACCACTGTCCAGTCCTAGCCATGTGTGGCTGTCAAGCACCTAAACTGTGGCTAGTTCAAATGGAACTGTACTATAAGTATAAAATATACTGCAGATACTGACAATTTAGTAAAAAAGAAAGAAAGGCTGGCAACATCTCATTGATAACTTTTACTGTTCATTACATGTAAAAATGATAAAATTTGAGTATATTGGGTTAAATATGTTATTAATATTAGTTTTTTTCTGTTTCTTTCTACTTTTTAATGTGGCTGTTAGAGTATCTATTTATTTATTTATTTATTTATTTATTTAAACCTGGTCTTCCTAGGTGGTCTCCCATCCAAGTACTAACCAGGCCTGACTCTGCTTAGCTTCCCAGATCAGACGAGATCGGGCATGTTCAGGGTGGCATGGCCGTAGACTTGAGTATTTAAATTCTCATATGTGGCTTCTATTATGTTCCCATTGGGTAGTACAAGTTGAGCGAATCAAGATGTTAATACAGAAAATGAAAGTTCTTCAAAATTTTACCAGAATCCAGAGATATAATTCCTTGTTTTCTTTTTATCCATGAAAAATATGTTGTTATTTTCTATATTTTAAACATCTTTTTATGAAAATGAGGTCATGCTATCTATAGCATTTAGAAACTTTCTCTTTTCTTAAAACTATTGCTTATACATCTTACAATCAATTAAGATACATGAGGGAAGCTCACTGTTTATAATAGAGTTTATAACAAATCCTTATATAAAACAAATAATTATTGTGTAAAACTTTCTTTCAGATTAACATTTTAGATTAATCTGTGTTTTCATAAATCAGGTTTCTGATTTGTCATTAAAGCAAGTTATTCCTTCCCACGTATTTTATGGAGGAGAGTAAATACTTTTAATTATAATTTAATACCTTTAAATTTAATAAAATATAAATTTTTAAATTTTCTTTTCCAGCAATTTCTGCCCAGCTGGTTGTAAAGACATTGCAGGAGACATTTCTGGGAATGTGGTGGATGGATATAGAGATGTAAGTGATTCAGGGTAATTTTATGGCAGGGAGGAAATTAAAAAGATCACAGAAGAATTGACATTGTGTCTGGGACCAGTGAAACCATCTGCCGTCTTCTTATATTTTATTCCCCTCCCTCTTTGTACCCCAATTTCTTATGCCTATTGAGACCTTCTGGGTTATACACATTTTCCCAGAGAAAATTAAGTTTATAAGGAGTCATTTTTCTAAAGTATATGTCCTGTCTCCAGATTCAAAACCCTTCATTTCTTACTATTTATAAATTTCTGTCTTAGAAATCTGATATCTGATTTTAAAATTTTTACATTGTTATTTAAAATAGGTTTCTAGCTTTGGGAATTGGCTTGAGTTATTAGAAATGTCAAAATCTGTAGAGTGATGCTACTTTTCTAAGAGTTATTGACATGCATCTTCGTGCACAGAGAAAACATACATGTTCTAGAAGATTGATAATTCATCTCCAGTGGGGGAGGAGGGAAACTTGGCTTTAATTTTTGCTTTTGCGCATCCTGATTCTAGAAGCAGCAGATTTTTTTTTTAAATTCCTTTTTCATGTATTGTCTTTATGAGATTGACACAGGATATTCATTTGTCCTGTAAATTGTTTGAACCTTAAAATGATTTATACTGCCTCAATTTGAAGATATACTTGTCTCAGGCTGTTCCTAAATGATGTCAGGAAATTAAAAGAAATAAAAAATTGAAGTATAGTTTTTCCCCCTAACAATAGAAAGCTTTGATTTATTATTTCCTGTACCATGCAAAGAACCTGAGAATTATGTACAATAAGAGAAATAGCATCATTTTTTCTTACTTTCATTGTTTATCTTGCCTGCTCTTGACAGAGCTTTCTTTTTCAGTGTAACAGGTAAATAGTTTCCTGGGTGGTAGATCTGAGTACACAACTGCAAATACTACGAACAGGTTTCCTATTTGACTCACTAACTGGTTTTACAGTATTTGCTTTTAGAATGATCTTATCTGGCAGGAAATTTTGTATTTTGAAAATTAATCTCTTCAAAGAAATCAGAGTAGTTCCTCTTTGTATATAATAATATTGTAAGTGTATTAGGTCTCTATTGCTGTACAACAATATCACCACAAACGTAGAAACGTATAACGGTACATGTATCCTCTCTCATGTTCTGTGGGTTGGGAGTTTGGTCATGGTTGAGCTTACTTCCCTGCTTCAGGGTTCACAAGGGTGTATCCATGGTGTCAGCTGGGGCTGCAGTCTCATCCAGTCTTGAATGGGGAGGGATTTGCTTCTAAGCTCACATGGTTTTCACAGCATTCAGTTACTTATGAATTTGTCAGACGGACGACCTCCATTTATTCCTGGGTTTTGGCTGGAGTCTGTCCTCAGCTCCTTGCCATGTGGGCCTTTCCAATGTCTTGCTCCTTCAAAGCCATCTAGGAAGAATTTCCCATGTTATCATGGCAGTGGTGCCCCATCACCTTTGCCATATTCTATAAATTAGAAGAAAGCCACAGCTCGCACTCACACTCAAAGGGATTACATCGTGGGGAATACCAGGAGGCAGATCATGGGGGTTATCTTAGAGTCTGTCTTCCATGGTGCCTTCATCTTAGGAAATGCTTTTCAGTTGTAGCAAGTCTTTGCTAGACTAAAGCATATCCTGTAGGTCAATTTGACAGAGTTTGTCAATTACCAGAGAATCTATTGACAATAGGTGCTCTGTCTCAGGGAAGAAATATGTTGTCTTAAAAAGCAATTATAGAAAAAGAATTGGTTCATTCTGTGTTGTTTCAAAAGGCAGAATTAGGATCAATGAATGAAAGTTATAGGGAGGCCAATTTCAGCTGTGTATGAGGAATCATTGAGCAGTGCAAAATGGGATAGGATGTCTCAAGAAACAGCAAGCCCCTACTCACTGAAGAAAGTGCCAAATGCAAATGTTATAATCATTTGTCAGAGGTGGCCTGTATATGTGTGGAACTGTCTGTCAGGAAGTGTCAGGAAGTGTCAGGAAGTGTCAGGAGATCTTTAAAAGTCTTTTTGGATTAAGATTCCGTGATTCTTCTATCCCCTTGACCAATGCATTAAGGCATCTATATTTGTGTATGCTTATCATGCCAGTTAAGTAGTGTAGATGTCTCTTTAAGATCTGCCTCACCTGGAAACCAGAAATAAAAAGCCCCTAGAACAGTTTTTCCCTTGGCACCTTATCCCAAGCCTGCTGACGTACCTGCTTTTACATGGAAGACATCACTTAAGTCACTTTAGTAAATTACACAGTCCTTAAAAATATTCAAGAAGTATCGTAAAATAAAGACAGTACATATAATGTACTCCCAGTTCAGAAGGAAAAGAGGAGAAATTAGGCCTATCATACACACCCACAAAAAGCTAGAGGGAAATACATTAATGTTGAATGATTATCTCCAGGCAATGGCAATATGAGTGATTTTTTTCCCCCTATTTTCCAACATTTCTATAATGAATGCAGTTAACTTTTGTAAAGAAAATGTTATATGGGAATTATGAAGACTATAACAACATAGGAACAATTTATATGATAGCATGTGGAATATATTTTATAATTTAACACTTTACCACATTCCACTGGCATTTTTAAACACGTGCTTTATTCATGTTTTATTAAATACAATCTAAAACATTTATTTTTAATTTTTATCTTAATACTTTGTTGTTACTTTTTAGTGCAAATTGAATTTTTTTTAAAGGAAGATTTAAACAAGGGCTCCGGTTCTGGGATGATTTGATAATTGCTTTGAAAGCTGTTTTAGTCTTACCTCATACTGATCTATTTTGCCATCTTTATGGCTTAGTGAACTCAGAAATGTTTAATATCATCAGCCTGTAATTGCGTGAGCCATGCAGGTGTTCTTCTCTGATGTTCCTTGTATTCCCTTTCCTGAATAATTAGATTTAAATTATTTTATTTGAATTTAAGACAATTTACTAATTAACCTAGGCAAGTGACTTTCTTGTATTTACATTTCAGTGAGACTTAGACCTCAAAATTAGCTAGAAAAATCAAAATATCAATCATACCACTGTTCAAAAGGGAATTTTCAAAAACCAGATTAAATGAGTGTGATTTTTAAAATTGATACCCCAAAGGCCCCAATTTAAGTAAACATTAATTTTGTTTAAGTTGGTTGGGTGAGAGAGTGCTTTTTAAAGAAAATCTTGGAAAGGGCTGATAATTTTATAATAATAATATGATAGCCAGATCTGTTGGTTATTCTCTTGGAGGTGTATCCTATGCCATGCATTTAGTATTTATAAAGCTGCAATTTATAAATACATTAAAGAGGTATATATCATTGGGTTCCCTCATTATTAGGTACTGTGGGAAATGAGAATATTTATTGGCCAATGATGCTGATAGGTCTTATTGGCTCATTGTCTTGTGAACCTGCCCTCTTATAACCAAGGAGGCCCTGGGACATTCCAAGTCCAGTGAGAGCTCGCCACAGAGCAGGACACCTGGAATGAAGACCATGGCATCCCAGACCAAATTCCAAGGAAGATAGATGACCCCAGGGACAGTTGGAATTAGCTGCCTAGCGGACCCCTGGACCACATTCCAGGGCTGAAAGAAATAGGCTGTCCTGCTGGACCCTAAAATTTGGGACATAGGGTGCCCTTTAGAATCACATGGTGACAACCGTTAGAAATGATACTAGACATCATCAAGTCCAGGCTTTCCATTGAACAGATGAGTTAGGAAGCCAGGCCCACACCAGTGAAATGACTTAAACACACCTAATAGAGTTAGAGGCAGAACCAGGATGAATTTAAATTCATGATTTTTCCATTACAATTGGCTCCTCCATTTTTTACTTCAAGAGTCTAAAATAGTGATAAGAAATCTTTTTAAGAAAAGAAAATTTAGGAAAAATAAAAATGCCAACTCCCAATATAGCTTAACACTATCTTTTTCTCTTCTTCTAATTCTTTTTATTTTCCAAAATCAAGAAGGGTAGTATCTGCATCTGTTTTAGCATTCTCATATTCTCTGTTGGGAAATCTTCCCCCTTTTTTTGGCTATGTCAGCGATTATTGCAAAAGTGACTCACTTTGCCAAATCCAAACTAGTTTGGGAAATATGAGCTTTCTAAACATCACAAAACTCAATTTTATTGCAACCCTGTTAATTATAAAATACAATTGGTCTCATTGGTCCTCCTAATATTGTGACCAAAATCCAAGAGAAATTTTCCACTGAAATAAGGTAAACAGCATTGTCATTAACACAAAGAGAAGCTCCCAAGTCCAATTACAGAGATGCAGTTTTATGAGCTGCTTTTCTCTTTTTGGCATTAGCCACTGTGGAGAAGAGGAGCATTGCTGAAGTTTATTTAGAAAATGATGCTTCTCAACCACTCAGTTCTGGGCTGACTATCTAATCATCCTCCCACACAGATCTGTGCTCATGGAGACCTAGGACCTAGGCACCTCATGGAAAAGTTTCAGTCCTTCCTCCAGCCCCACTTCCCAGCAAGCCAATTTCAGTCACAGGGCCACTTGCTATTCATCCAGGCAGGTGCTCCTGCTTGGGTTGTCACACCAGGCAACAGCCCTGTTGACCCACTCAGAGAGGGTTCCAGAAATGAGGTGGCGGCCATGGGCCCTGGGTTGCTCATCACCGGTCTAAGACCCTCATGAAGTTTTCTGCTCCATTTAGTGTTCTGACTTTACTATTTTGTGTTTGATGCCTTTTTAAATCTCTGAATTAATTGTAAAATGAAGCTGTGGTATGGAAGGTTCATCTTCTCAAATGATCCTCAGTATGTATATCTCATAAGCCAATTGTAAGAAACTGATCAGTGGTCTAATTCTGCAGAACAAGCCACCCCAAATGCAGTGGCTTAAAATAACAACCGTTTATTTGCTGACGAGTTTGTGGGTCAGTTGGTTCCTTAGCTCCCCTTGCTTAGAATCGCTCCTGCAGCTGCAGTCATGTGGTGGGGCACCCGAGGCCGCAGGGTCTATGGTGGCCTCACTGCCATGTGTAGTAGTTGACTGGACCACATTATCTGCAGCAGCACAAAGTAAGCTACATGGCCAGTGGGAGGTGAGTACACAAGGGCATGGCTACTGGAAGGCATTGTTCTTTGAGGGGCTACTACTACTGTAAATTACCTATTTACCTACCCGGTGGATAGGTTACCCAGTTAGCATACATATGGTGACTCCAATGTCATTTTGAGATAGGTATACAATAATTTGTTTTCCTCGCCCTTCTGCTTTTTATTGAAATGAGTTATAGTTTACAATGACATGGATCAAATAGGGATCCTGACAACAAGTTATAACAAAATGGAAAACTCTCACTATATTTTAAATGTATTCTTGAATAAGCTGGGAATGATGATGTTGCTCCGTTTCAGACCTCTTTATTGTGCAAAGCCGCCATCCATGCAGGAATAATCGCTGATGAATTGGGCGGTCAGATCAGCGTGCTTCAGCGCAAAGGAATAAGTCGATATGAAGGAACCATGGCCAATGGTGTGCTCTCAAGGGAGTAAGTATTTTGCCTTTTGTTATGAGTGGAAGGTAACCCCAAAGGCATAATTAATCAGCTCTCAATTTTGAAAGAAGAGAAGACATGTGACACCAAGGGCTTTTCAACTGGGAAAAATATGTGAGTGCTGAGAGCAGCATTTATGATGTCTCTGTGGAAGATAAATGCAGCAATACAAAAGCTCACTGGTTCTGCTGACAAGTAAATTAAAATGGCATGCATCTGAAGTCCCAGGGCAGAGGAGTATTTCTACTCAGGTGCTGAAGTGGGAGAGAACAAAGGCTTATTCCTTTTTAGTTTTTCCAGTTTTAGTAATTTGCTGGTTAATCAGTATTATCAAAGATATCGAAGGTAGACTAGGGGACTTAAGTAAACTCATATAGAACCACGGAGCTCCCCAGAAGACCCTTAGAGACAATCTCTTAGTGAATGACTGTTGGGAAGTGAAAAAAAGATGGCTTTTACTAACGTTGTTAACTTCTCTGTTTGGTGTTATCCTCTGCTCTTTTAACTTCATAAGAAAAAAGTATATCAATTACTTGAAACCTTTCGGCCTCAGTTTTTAATGCTTTCAGGTTTCCTTAGCTCCTGGAGTGGAAAAGTAGAGCCATCAGGACTAAATAAAGGCCCATCTAGTGGTCTACACATAGAAAGGGGCAGCTTGGAATGGTCCAGAGGGAGGCTCCCTTGGGTGGACTCCTAGTGAGGGAAAAGGTCTCCTCAAGCCACTGTTTTTCTCTCTTCCTTACTCTCTCTCTGCCCCTGGAAAAGTCTCCCCACTGCTGCAGCTGTGTTGTTTTTGGACAGGTCACCATATGGTCTTGGTTCTAGGGATGTGGCACAAAACAGAGGCTTTAGGCATTTAAGGATCCAAGAGTTGAAAAAAGTAGGTCAGAATCTCTATCTTCTACCACTCACTAGCCTGTGTGTAGATCTCTTCCTACCCCCACCAGTTGGCCCTAATCTCCTCTTGCATGCAGAAAGAATACGATCATATTTTACTGTTCCATTCTTACAAAGGATCATGGACTATCTTATCTGGTTAAAAAATAATCACCTTGTAGGGGTAGATAGGTTCTCAAGTTAGCATAAATACAGTGACTGATGTCATTTTGAGAAAGTTAAACAATAATTTTGTCCTCACCCCTACTACTTTCTATTTGAATGCATTGTAGTTTAGTAATATTGTGGGTCAAATAAGGATTCTGACCACAAGTTATAACGTTGTTTTTAATAGGAAAATGTATTTTACGTTTCAGAGAACCAATTTATGAACTCACAAGTGAGCTTTGAGACTAAAACCCATTTCAGGATTTGAGGTTGTTGGCCTGAGCTCACCAGGGAGGGAAAGCTGTGACTGAAACTGGGGAAGTTGGTTTGGTACCTTTATGAAGGAGATGAGCCTCGGGTTTAATGGAAGGCATGAAGGAGGCGAGCCTTGGGTTTAATGGAAGGCAGACCCAAGCCTTAGAGGGACATAGAGGTAGAGTCAAGACCCGGGAAGGGACACTAGAGAGTTGTGGTGGCCCCTGTTAGCACACCATGCTTATGTTCAGCGGGCTGGCTGGTAGGTGGCTAAGGAGAAAAGGCAGGGCTCCCACTGGCAATTCTGGGTTTAGGGTTATAGGTGGGGCTATCTGGAGAGGTTGTTCCAGTCCAGCCCTTTCACAGGCATTGCAATCAATGCTCTGTAACCTATAAAAGGCCGTCATCCACTAAGGACAGGGCCCGTACTGCATGCTCAGATGGTCAGGCTCATATCTCTGCATCTGTGTTCTCTTCCTTCCATGACCTTCCCATTTACTTTCCCCTCTGGATAGGATTTTTTAGCTATAAGAGACCCCAAAGTGTTTTTTCATATTACCCGAACATTCAAAGACAAATTAGTCCCATATTTTGCCAAAGGTTAAGATCTAAAAGATTGCACAGGATGCCTTTAGAAACTAAGATCCTTAATCAAATAAATAAAATTTATATCTGTATGTATGTGTATACACATATATTTAAACTATGATGCATTCAAATATATCTGTATGTATATGTATACACATATATATACATACATATGTACTATATATATGAAAATTTATATATGTACACATATGTATTATATAAATATGCCCATACACAAGTATGTGTATATATATATTCTTATTTATGTATTTTCCTCAAAGTCTTTAGAACATTAAACTTTATGTCCTGATTTATAGTAAAAGTGATTGCTTAAGCACAGGAAACTTTAAATGTCATCTTGACCTTGACTTTTGAGAATTTTTTTTTCAATATTTTTTGTGGTTTCTTCTGTTGATACTTTTGAGAATTTTTTTTCAATATTTTTTGTGCTTTCTTCTGTTGATACTATTTCAGGAAGGTGTCAGGCTGTGGCCTAGATTTGTTGGGTGCTACTATCTTCAAAAAGAAGGAAGAATTGGCCTTTGGCTTTAAATCTGTTTTTTTAGAATCTCTTGCCTATGTTTGTGTACATTTGCTTTTGTAGAAAAATAGGATACTAAAAAGGTTAACTTGTACTAGTTGGTTTTATTTTACCTTTGAAGAGTAATTAATTAAACCTATTTTTAAAAAGTAAACGTGTTCTCAGTTACGTCTGCTACATCAACTGGGCTTAATACATATGAAGTTGCTGTATATAATTTGAAATTAAAATTCGTTGCAAAAAAAAAAAAAAAAAAGAGTTCGGAAATCTGACCCAGTAATGAATTAGAAAAAGTTTTTCCCATATACTTATTTGAACAAATTTCCCAGTTTTTGTGTTGGTGGGAGTAGATGGAAAGTCCAGAATTACATCAAGGTCCCTTCTTCCTCCTAGCTCTGTGATTTAACATTGACTTTTTGTACTGAGCAGAGAAAAGTAAACTATAGGCTAATAAACACAATCTCTTTTACTCATTTAGAGTCCCAAATCTTCAGGGAGTGGTTGTTTTTATCTGTGCTGTTTTGCTGTTGGGGAACCACTGTACATGCGGTCACTGAACTTCTGTTCCCACACATGATTGTTTGGTGTTCAGGAAAAAACACAGAAGGAAGCACTGCAGCTGAGGAAGGAGTCCCTAAAGTAAATATCCAGGGTTCTTCTGGGGTTCATCCGGGGTCAGGTCACTTCCTGGATCTGAGGAGACCAGAATGGAATCAGGAAGAGGCGCTGACTTCACATAGAGGATGATGGCTCAAACCATTAGCTGAAAGGCTTTTCTTTCTGTTTACATCAGACTATTCTTAATTGCTTCTGTAGCCCTCTGGAAAGGCTGGTAGTTCCAGGAATCTGATTGAATTCATTCACCCTAATATGTGAATGCCTTAGGGCATTTTATTTTTTAAAAGAGGAGAGTTTACTTACCTATAGAATTCTCTAGGTGGTTGTATTCAATTAGTTCAGTGGAGTGAAATGGAAAAGCATATTCCAGCTGATAATGGAGGAAAACCAGGAAGCAAACTGTTAGAAGCTGGGCCTTCCCTGGCATCTTCTCTTTTTACCATATCCTTTTCACCATAACTTCTCTTTTTTAACAAAAAATAAATAAATATTTTTATGTTTCCTGGCAGTGGGAGCAAGTTTAGGCTCTCAGGGTTGCAGCAGTCTTATTTGGACTTATTTGGGCCAAATTTCAAGTGGAATACTTAGTGCAGGAATGTTAGAGAAAACAGAAATATCAGTCAGAGAGGCTCTAAATAAATCTTAATAAAAATTTAAATATAAATTATAATTATGTGCACTTTTCTTTAAAAGTTGGGAGAGGTGGGTCTTCTGAACTTAGGCAAATCTCATGACCCTAATGGGCCTGAGTTTTCTCACATGAAAAATGATTGGTGCCTGCATTTTATTCAGTACAGAGATTATAAAAGAACCTTTATGTAGAATACTCCGGCTTATGGAGTCTCTGCCTGATTGTGGACAGATGTGAAAGAAAAAATCCATTCCAGAGAGTTTGACTACCTGTTACTTCTAAAAAAAAACATTGATGGGAATGTACTTATACTCTTGTCCAACTATTTTTGGGTTCTCCGTGGATTTCACAGTTTGGCACCCTCTCTGTCCATTATTGTCATATGTAATTCAGACTTAAACATTTAAATTAATAAACTGTATTCCAGATTGTAAAATAATGGAACACACAGTGACATTTGCCTTTCTGTGTTTACTTCTGGTCTCTAATATAGCAAGTACTATGCACATATGATTAATCTTGAGAACTGAAAATTTTCTATTTATTCTATGTATTTATACACCATTAAGTTGATGAGGGATTTAAAGGAAGTTAAATACAATGTTGGGCCTTAGGAATATCTTCTCCACCAAAGGAGACAACTGCAGAACAAGGCTGATTTGATAACTTCTCCCATGAGATTAATACAAGCTGTAGAGCAGCAGGGCTCCAGAGGCCTGAGGATCAATGCTGATGGGAAGGAGGACTGTCCTGCAGCGGTGAGATGCTTTAAGTTTTCTCCAGCTCTACCCTGTCATTCAGAAACAGGCTAGAGAGTTCTTGGCTGGGTGGGGGTGCTGGGTGCTACAGGAGAAAGGAGTGTGATTGAAGAGAGAAACTGCACTGAGGCTGTCTGGACAACGTGCTGGAGCAGGACCCCTCAGGGAAGGAGTAGGGAAGGCTGCACGGAAGGCAGCTAGCAAATGACATGCTGCGCCAAAAGTAACCAGGCTTCTTCATTTCTCTTAATGGTACTCCATAGTTGACAAAGCATAGGACACTTAAGGTGACTGCTGAAGCAAAGGAAGTATTCGGGGCAATGATTTCTGCCTCCAGCATCATGTGTTAATTAACTGGGATTTAAGGTTGTTCCTGGTACTGTATGTCCTGGTACTATACATTTCTTTCCAATACAATGTGGCGTGATGGAAACAACACAGGATTTTGATTTAAAAGCAGTGTCCCAGACTCCTCCTACCTGTATGAATTTAGGGAAGTTGCTTATCTTTGATGGGCCTGATTTTCTTGATCTACAAAATACCAGTGATGAAGATAACAAAGGTGGCCTTGTCGGGGTGCTATGAGGCTCATGGGGGGTGTGAGCAGGCTCTGTGAGCCCTGTGCTATAGTGCTTTATCGGTCATTAAGATCCAGTTAAGCAACTCACCTCCTCGTGTTTGTGTTTACTATTTCAGTGGTTCCCTGTCAGACAAGCGATTTCTGTTTACTTCCAATGGTAAGAATCGTGCTTTCCTGAAGAATATGATAAAATCATCAGTGGTAGTTTATTCTTCCATACCCTTCCAATGATAAAGTTCTTTTTTTTCCTTTTTTTCCTCAGATCTCATAGCACCAAATACGCTGACTTAAAAAATACAAAAGAGAATAAACCCAGTTAACATTAAGCAGAAAATATTGTTCTTCATAATCTAAGCTCTCTCAGACTTTTGCCAAAAAGAATGAATATTTGAAATGACATTAAGATAAATTTCTTTATGTTAGGTTTTAACAGAAAAATCTTTTAAATAGTACAGTTTGATTTGTGGTTATCTTAAGTTACTGAAAATGAGTATATAAAATAAAGGCTCTTTATTCCCTCCATCATGGAATATATTTTGTGTAAATATTCTTCTTCCTCACACAAAGTAAGATATTTTAAGAAGAACAATATGAATATGTCTTCTTTACCCAGGAAGAGGAGGGTGCCCTTTATTTACTCCCTCCACATTGCTTTGGACTTGGTATAGGAAGGTCCTAAAAGTGAGTATTGGATATAATTCACTAATGTTCAGAGTACTTGACCTACCTGCTCTTCAAAGGTACAGAGAATGGAGTCCTACTCTAATCAAGTGAGAAGAACCTCAGCATTTTAAACCTTTAAGACACATCGATTGCACTTTGTTGAAATCAGGATGGATTTAGGTTAGAAAGGGAAATTTACAGTGGGGTCAAAGAGATGTCACTTACAAGAGATAGGACTTTAGTGAGGTCCATTAAAAGTGGCAACAATTTCAAGATATTGCAGTATAAATGAGTCAAATGCAAATCTGGGTCATTAAAAAACTAGTAATTAAACAGTTGATTTGCTATCGCAATGGAAGTAAATGGAAGTGAATGATTCTAGATGAGATGGGGTACTTTTATCTTTTTGCTTTCATTTTGTTTTATATGGGAACTATTTCCTGCCCCCCTTTTTTATTCTAGGTTGCAGCAGATCCTTGAGTTTGGAATCTGACAAGCAAATCACAGCTTCTTCTTCTTGGCAGTGGGTCAGTGATATTGGAGAACAAGTTCTTTGGTCTCCTAGCCAAGCCCGACTTCAGGACCAAGGACCGTCATGGGCTTCAGGGGACAGCAGCAAAAACCACAAACAACGAGAGTGGCTGGAGATAGATTTGGGAGAGAAAAAGAAAATAACAGGTACTGACACTAGTGCAATTTCACAAATACAAAATGACTTGTGGTTGAAAGTATGTTTCTGATGTACATAGATGTCTCTCTCTACCTCAAAGTACTTTGCGTCTTAATCTTCACATTGTCTCTCTGGGAAGAACCTGTATACAGGTCGTAAATATGGATGTGTGGATCAGAGATCTGATTTCTCAATGGCAAAACCTTTTTATGGCATATTATCAGTGTGAAAATACATCAGGTTTCTAAATGCGAATAAGGAAAGTTGGCCTATAAAATGACTTCAGGTTCCAAATGAGGGGGGGAAAAAAGGAACCTGAAATACATATTTTAAAAACTAACCTATGAATAATGTCTTCTTATAAGGAATTAGGACGACAGGATCCACACAGTCAAATTTCAACTTTTATGTTAAGAGGTTTGTGATGAACTTCAAAAACAACTCTAAGTGGAGGACCTACAAAGGAATTGTGAATAATGAAGAAAAGGTAAGAGAAACTCTGGAGGAAAGAAATGAGTGGGAGAGCAGGCCTCCAAATGCTTTCATCAACCTGTTTCCAGAAAACATATTTGAAGCCTTTACCTGAGATAACTTGGCCTTTGTTTGCAAAGTCTTGCATCTTCAATATCATGAGTGTCTACAAAAATGCAACAGATATAGAATGCTGGGTTTGGTTTCATGTAACGAGGTATGGGTAGGTTGACAAAGACTTAAAAATGAACTAATAGAATCTTCAGTTAAAAGTTACCTATTTCTACAGGTGTTTCAGGGCAACTTTAATTTTAGGGATCCAGTGAGGAACAATTTCATCCCTCCCATCGTGGCCAGATATGTACGGGTTGTCCCCCAGATGTGGCACCAGAGGATAGCCTTGAAAGTGGAGCTCATCGGTTGCCAGATTACACAAGGTAGGATTCAGGGCAAGTCAGTGAACAGTTTGATTCCGGTCACGTCCTTTGCCACATTGTTGTTACTAATGTGGTTTTTCCAACATCTCTCTCAGGTAATGATTCATTGGTATGGCGCAAAACAAGTCCAAATTCTGTTGGTTCAACTAAAAGAGAAGATGAAACAATCACAAAACTCATCCCCTCTGAAGAAGTGCCCACAGGTAGAGCAGTTATTGTTTTGTGATTTCCTCAGGGGTGTAACTGGTACTCCATTCAAAATTACAGTACCTTCAACAAAATTTTTTTTCTTTGTCATATAAACGTCTGGAAGCAGATGGTTCAGACATGTCTGCATATGTGTAAAATGACGTCCACAACTATTTATTGCAGTATTGCAAGTAGAAAAGAAGTGTTTGCCCTTTAAACACTAGGTAAATATTTTATGAGAAAATAATTGCATATCCATGCAATGGAATATTCTGCAGCCATGAAAAATAATGTGTTAGTAATATAGAAAGCTCTCTGATAAATTGACAAATAATTACAGTATAGAACAGTTCATATAGAACTCTATTATGTGTGTAAAAAAAGGGTAAAAAAAATTATTTATAAATATACATATATATTCATTCTAGCATTTCTGGGAGAATGTCAGGAAGTATAGTTTGGCTACCTGTGGAGGAAAAGCAAAAGTGGGAGATAGACATTGCTTTCCAACCTTTAGATACTTTTTAAATTCTGAACATGTAAGGCTATGATCTGTTCAAGTAATGAACATTAAAAGTACATTTATTTTTTCAAAATATAAAATTATTTGCATAGTAATTTTACAAAATTTGGAAAGATTAGAGAAATATAAATAAGAAAAAAATCAGCCATAAATCAGCATCCAGATAATCACCAAATTCTGTCGTATCTAATCAATTACATTTATATTCATAACTTTGAGACAAAACAGTAGCATACCATATATTCTATTCTGTAGCATATATTTTTCACTTAACATTGTATTGTGAGCATTTTTCAATGTTACAAATATGTGAAAAACAATTATATCTTTATAGTATTTTTTCATATGGAAATACCATTATTTAGTTAACCATTCCCCTATTGTTCAATGTTTAAGTTGTTAAGTTTTTCCTAAATTTCCGCTCTTATAAATAACACTGCGGTTATTTATGTAAGTTCCTTTCTAAGTTCCTTATCTCTTTCATGAACTATACGTTACCACTCCTGGTCGTCCCTTTATTTTCTTCCCAGGGTTCACAGATAAAGAAGGGCGAAGAACAAATATTTCTTTTTTAGTTTGTATAGTTTCTATAAGCTTGGGGCCTGCTGTAGTAGCTAGTAAAGTGGCCTCCTTTTTTAAAGCAGAAGGAGTTGTAGGAAGACATAGACTGGTGTTTCATGCTGCAGAGCGGAAATGCTGTTTGAGGTCACCAGGCTGCATTTTCTTTTAGTTCACGGCTCCAAAGCTCTGGAAAGAGGAAGCCCAGAGTCCCCAGTCCTCTGTTATTGCCCAGGTCCAAACATGCCCACCATCAGGGGGAACTGGTTGCTTGAGCGAAGCTTAAGAGCTCTGCACTATGCTGAAATCTGTTACCTGTCTGAATAGCTCCTGGCCGGGTGGGCCAGCTTTAAATCTTCCCCTTCAATTCTGACTTTTGGACTCTAATATGGTCCAAGCAACAAGCTCAGAGTCAACACAAATCCCTGAGGAACACTGAAAACTATTTTTTGGAATGAAATCTTGCCATTTCCAACAACACAGTTGGACCTAGAGGGTATTATGCTAAGTGAAATAAGTCAGACAGAGAAAGACAAATACCATATGATTTCACTTGTATGTGGAATCTAAAAAAAATAAAAAATAAAAAAAATAAACAAAGCAGAAACAGACTTGTAGATATAGAGTACATGTTGATGGTTGCCAGATGGGAGGGAGTTTGGGCGGTGGGGTGGGGGGGCGCGGCGGGGGATTAAGAAGTACAAATTGCCCATTATAAAAACAGTCACAGGGATATAAAGTACAGCATAGGGAATATGATCAATAGTATTATAATAACTCCATATGGTGTCATTTGGATACTAGATTTATTGGAATGACCACTTCATAAATTATATAAATGTCTAATCTCTATGTTGTACACCTGAAACTAATATAATATTGTATGTCAGCTATAATTGAAACAAATGTTTTCATTGTTGAAAACAAACCAAAAAAATTTTAAAGAAAACTGCCTTGGGAGGGGGAGGGACAAATTTTATTTTGCTAAAGTTAGCCAGGATTTTGAATACTCTCATTTTGCATTCCAGTGTCAGTAATTGCCTACCTACCATGTATTTGTTTTCCCCATATATTAACCCACTGAAAACCTTTCAAATAAATGTTGCATTTTAGATCATGAAACGTGGTTGCAGGTCATTTCTGTTTTAATGTGCTTCCTCCCTCTTAGGAATAAACGTCACAATGATTGCTATTCCACTGGTGCTTCTCCTTGCCCTGCTGATTGCTGGAATGGGAATCTTTGCAGTCCTTAGAAAGTATGTGACTTTACACTTTTAAATTTCTTTTCTAATTACATAAACAATCAAAAACCAAAAAGGTTACTCTTCAAATATTCATGTGTAGAAATGCAGCATTACTTCTTCCAAGATAAAATGTTAACATATTTTCCAAACAAGCTGGTAGAGGTGGAGGTCTCAGGTATTATTTTAGAAACTGTACTTATTTAGAAACCTTTTCAGTAGCATTTTTTTTGTTTCAATAGGAGGAAGAAGAACGGAAATCCTTATGGATCCGCTAAGGCTCAGAAAACAGGTTGGTTGAAAACTCGGTCTACAGTTTTATTCGGTCTTTGAGGAAGGGACAGGATCTGCTGATTAAAAGCATGATCAGGTCTGGAGCCCACACTTGCATGGTTAAAAAATAAGATCTATAGCTTTTAAGTTAGCAGATTTATAAGGAAGGAATATATTGTATCCAGTCTTTTTAATTCAGAGTTTTCAGAGTCACTTTACTTTTGCTTTTGTTCAGCATCACCCCATCGTTTATCAACATCTTTTTTTTTTGGAGGGGAGGCACTGGAATTTAGGCCACCGCATTGCCAAGGAAAAGTTATAAAAGCCCCTTCTGTGACTTGAACATTGTCCAGCACTCAGCATCTGCAGGCCTCCAGTATATTTTCCACTCTGGGAAAGTGAGGGAAGGACTAAACAGGGCTTGTATTCAGGTTTCAGAAAATCTTTAGGACACAGGACACCCAAGCAATGCACCAGCTGCAGTCCAGAGAGAAAGGGCAGCGAGGCAGGACCTCTGAGAATCTCAGGCACAACTTGGGACTCCACCTTCACAGGCTCTAGACAGCCAGCTATGTTGACTCCTCTGGGTCATGAATACCAACCATCTCAGTGCAGACTAGAAGACTAAGCTCAGGTGGTCTAACATAGGGATAATCTGGGACCTGTGGGTACACAGATACATTTTAAAGGTACAGTGGAAAGGCACAATGGAAAGTACAATGTTTGCTGTTAAAACAACCTCAGCTAGCTGTTTCTACCACACACATTTGAAGCACTGTGCCCGGGAATTTATCACAAGGTCAGCCTGCAAAAGGCAGCCTGACCTCTGGCTCATGGAGGAGGACACATCATGGAGTATGTGCATTACACTTCTGAGATACTACTTTGTTTTGTGTTATCTTTATTCCAGATTGTTGGAAGCAGATTAAATATCCTTTTGCCAGACAACAGTCAGCCGAGTTTACCATCAGCTATGATAATGAAAAGGAGATGACACAAAAGTTAGATCTCATCTCAAGTGCTATGGCGGGTAAGTGTTAAGCCTCTGTGACAGTGCCGTTAAGGAGGTGTTGCTTGTGAGAGAAGGAGACCAAGAGAGAAATAAGACTAAAATCCTTTTGTTTAGATAGGGTCCTATAATCAGTAATGTGTGAAGTTTCTTTCTGCACTCTGCACAGAGTTACAAACTGACACAGATATTTCTCGAAAGCAGAGGCTTTTACTCCTGCAGGGGCTAAAATGACACCAAAGCAATGGCTCTGAAGCACCACTAAAATCTGGAAGCTCGTATTTGTTTTTGTTACTAAGGTTTCGTTTAAGGCTCTAGGAAAGATGAACTAGGGACTAGAAAGATGGATTAAGTACAGCTATTGCCTTTGAGGAAGAGGAGACAGGAGATGAAGAAATCTTTAGTGTTAGAATGGCCATCTATGTGGAAGGATCCACATTTTGCTTTTTAAAAAAATTTCTAATCCATTAAGGACTGGTACTTTGTAAAATACAATAAGAATTAGTAGTAATAATGAAGCTTTTTAAAAAGACATACAAAATACAAAGCTCCTTTTTAATTAGACTCGAGGGACTTAAAATTACTCTCTCAAATTGCTATAAGTTTCCAAACACTTCCCCTCAGTTTGTGTAATCTCTTTGTAGACCTGTCACAAACAGTTCTCAGATATGTAGGTGTCTACAGACTACACTGAGTAGCACTGCTCTAGCTTCTTGCTTCTCAAAGTGTGTTTTAAGGACCACCAGCAGCAGCAGCAGCATTTGGGAGCTTGCTAGAAATGTGGGCTTTCAGGCCATGCCCTAGGCCTACTGAACCAGAAGTTCCTGGGTGTGCTTGTATATACCAGCTTCGGAGAGGTGTCAGTAGAAAGGTCGTCTGAGCCACTTCAGAGGCAAAGAGAACATCTCTTCAACTGAAATCCATCTTCTTGTTCCTTTCTCCCAACAATTCTAGTTCTATCTTGGGGGTGAAGCCAGAGAGGCGAGAACCCCTTGTCTGTCCTTTTCTGCCTTTCATTCTCCTTCAGGTTCCAATGCACACTCTTCTTCCTCACGGCGTGGTCCTTCTTGGGCTCCTCTATGTGCAAGGCCCAGGTCCTGCTCTTTACCCCATTCATCCGCAGTCTCCCCCTGCAAGCTGTCTCACCCACTCCAAAGCTCTCAGCAGAGTCCTTCCTTGCATATGTGTCCACTCTGCTGCTCAAGCCCAGACTTCCTTCCTGGTCCCCAATAAATCAGTAATTCTCATCTGCTGGACATCTCTCCACCTGAAGTGTCACCAGTTCTTCAGGGGGTCCAAAATTGGACCCCTTGTTCCTAACCTCCCCACCTATGCTCCGTGCACCCCTCTACTAAGTGGCTTCCCAGCTCTGCATCCCTGTCTTCCCAGCTCTGCATTCCTGTCGTCCAGGCTTAACCTGAGAAGGGTCTTTGGCGCCCCTCTTTCCTCATACCCTATGTATATCATTGGTAATAAATTCCTCTTGTTGCCAAAGTATGGCTTTTCTAAGGCTGCTTTCAGTTCCCTTTTCTGTTTCATTTCTCTTTGCTTCTTACTCCTTGTGTGTGTGTGTGTGTGTGTGTTTTTATCTTTTCTTCTTCAGTCTACCCCCTAGAGTTACCTTTAACCGTGCCAGTGTCTTATTTAGAATTCTCAGTAGGTTTCTACAGAATTAAATCAAGTTTCCTTGCAACACACTCGGCGCTTCTCAAGATCTAGCATATGGTTAACAGTGGACACTTGGGACCTGTGCTTGAATTCTCACTCCATTGGCTGCCAGCTGTGTGATTCTGGAAAATTTACTTTCTCTCTGCTTCATTTTTTCATTATGTAAAATGGAGTAATAGTTCCTAGCTCATAGCACTTTTTATTTTTTGGAGGATTTAATTAATTAATATCTTAATATCTTAGAATAGTGCCTGACATGGAATAACAGCTACATAATTGTGAGGTTTAATCATCATCACCATTATCATTAGTACCCAACCTACTATTTTGGTCTTTGAATTCTATTAAACTGGTCCACGTCTCTCATACTCTGACCACATCAAACTGTTTTCATGGTTTGTTTAACAGGTTGTTTAATCACTTTTCCGTCCACGCCCAAATTTTGGCATTTTAAGAGCCAGTATAAAAGCTCCATGAAGCATTTTCCCCCATGCCCCTAGATAGGGTTAAAGGTAATCTCTGCTTCTCTAGGTTCTTATGACCCTGGAGGCTTCCTAAAGCATCATATGGTTGTGTACACCCCTGAGTGTGGCCTCTGTGTGCTTTACATCTTGGTGTCTCTCACCATGCCTGGTCCACATTAGGCACTCAGCAGAGTCGGTTGGGCAGAGTGCCCTCTACAAACAACTAGCTTACCCGTGTATCCATGTGCTGAACAAATGATGTGCCTTCTGCTCTTTTGATTTCAGATTACCAGCAGCCTCTCATGATTGGCACCGGAACTGTCACAAGGAAGGGTTCCACCTTCCGACCCATGGACTCCGAGGCGGACGAGGCAGGGGTGAGCGCCGAGGCCCCCAGCCACTATGACTGTCCTCTCTCCATGGGCCGCCACGAGTATGCGCTGCCCTTGACCAACGCAGAGCCCGAGTACGCCACGCCCATCGTGGAGCGGCACCTGGCCCGGGCGCACACCTTCTCTGCGCAGAGTGGCTACCGTGTGCCGGGGCCCCAGCTGGCACACAAACACTCCCTCTCTTCTGGCAGCTTCTCCCCAGCTGCAGCGGCAGCTGGCGCCACAAGTACGGGCTACCAAAGGCCGCAGAGCCCCGCGCCCGCCAACCCAGGCTACTCTCAGCCCAAAGCTGGGGGCTGCTCAACCGCAGAGCACGCAGAACCAGATTATCAGAAGCCCCAGATGAATGATGCTTACTCAGCCCCCAGAGACTGCCTGAAACCCCTCAACCAGACAGCTGTGACTGCTCTTTTGTGAACATAATGTGAAACAAACCTGCTGTGGTACTGAGCATCCTGCTGTGTGCGGCACTGGAAGAAGGGATGTGTGTGTGTGTGTGTGTGTGTGGGTGTGTGTGTGTGTGTGTGTGTGTGTGTGTGTGTGTGAGAAATTTAATAGGATCCTCCGGTGGAGTCCTAGAGACCACCTCCCAAACTGTTTACAAAGATGTGCAGCTGGGCAAGAAGTCTGTTGAGTTTTGTTGGGCTAGAAAAATGAAAATTTTTAGATGGTATTTTCATTTTTCTGGGATATTGAGCTGCTTTGGTGTAAAATGTGCAATCTGTACAGTTATATTTAACAAGAATTAAAGTAACTTAAGTTTGCTTTTTCAGATTTTAGTTCTGCACAGAGGTTAAGTGGGAGAATGCAGCTATTGCAAAAACGTATATAAAAGTATGTTCACTGTTAAAATATATTTTATATGATAGTATGTTAGCAGCAGGTCTGTTTAAACTTAATCTTGTTTTTGTGGCTCATTTTCTTTCCTTTGATAACTAGAACTAAAAGCATTGTTAACATTCTTCTGGAAGGAATGAAATTACTTGAAGCATGAAAAGCACACCAGGGTGGTTGTTAACAATTATGATTGCAGATTTAAAAACACAGAGAACCACCTCAGCAACTACCTGTTCTGTAGACTCCACTTCAGGTAGGATGTGCAGTGGCCAGTCAGGGCATTCATAGAGCAGGAGGGGACCACACTGCCCTCACCTGCAGGACCTGATCCCTGGGGAACTGGCCTCCATCACACTTTGCTTCTTCCTCACCTCAGACCTGGCAGATGCTGTATGGCTTTCACATGCAAATCCACCTTTTCAAGCTCTGCGAAGCCAAAAGCTGACTTATCAGTAACCCAAACTGCTCTTCCAACAAATTGAATGAAGGTGGCACAGCAATTACAGCCTGAATTACTGTATCAGATGCTTTTGTACCTCAGGCTAAAAATATTGCTGAGGTCAGATGCCCACACTTTTCATGACTTTCTTCAGAAATAGCACATTGTACTCTGAAACACAAAAAATATTTGAGCTGTGTTCTTACAAAACTGACCGAGGCCAAATCTACACAGAGCTTTTCTACTGAGATGGTTGGGAACTGAACTGATTTTGTAAGGAACACTTTTCTCTTCTAGTATATGTCTAAGTTCCAAGTTAGCCCAGACCTCAGCTATACCTCATGTTCAGTAGTCTTTATCTGAGTTTGCCTTGTGAGTTTGCTGTGGGGGATTTAACCTCTTTTGCCAAAGAGGAAAATATACATTTGTTTGTTTGTTTTAATAGAAAATGTGGACCAAAAAATTCTTTCACTAAAAAAATGTATTATAATCCTATTTGTATGACTGTGACTTTCTGTGAAATGTATAAATGTTAAAATAGTGAGGGTGCTGGAAGGTTGTGGCAGATTATCTGTGGGTTATTGTGGTGGATACACTGTTTACGTTGTGCTGTTTACATGGTTTTACATGCATACTAATATAATACACTATGCCAAATGAAAGTGCCTGCGCCTCTCATTGCTGTCTGCTTGCTGGCCTATTGAAGGCACTTGTAACTCGGGCACCGTGAAAGGGCAAGTGGTACAGCAAAAAGAGCACAGGCTTGGGGACAGATGGGTAGATTTGGCCTGGGGATATCAGGAGAAATAACTAGAAGTAGGGAGTCCTCTATAATTGGTTAAGAGTGCATATTTGGCTTTTTCTGGTTGATCCTAACTTGCAAATGGGCACAAAAATTAGGGAAGATAACAATTATTAACTAAATTTTAGCAATTTGGGGTCAATCACTACAGGTATTATTGCTTGGCCTCCTGGATTATTACCAGAAATAGTGGTCTGACTTCTTATAGGTCTAATTTATAGGAGGCTGGCTGTCTGAGCTGGTTACTGTGGTTAATGTGTCGGTTTCTTATGTTTATTGCTATAGGTTGTGAATCAGAGTTCTGTTTTTATATATGGTCTGGCTGTTTTCCATTTGTATATTTAGTCTGTCATTGTATAACCCTCAGCCTCAGTTTCTTCATGTGTCAAAATGATGCCAATGTGCCTTCCTCCAAGGCTTACAGATAAGAATTAATTTGGACAGCATTTATCAAAGTGTTTGTTCTATAGTAGGCTTTTTTTTTTTTTCTCAGTGGGCTGTGCATAGCATTTTAACATTAAAATACTTGTCCATGAGAACAGGTCTTTAAAAAAATAGGTATCTTTACAATGGAGCTGTCTTCTTTGTCTATCACATTTCTTCCCCTATACTCATGATCTAATCATGACTGAAAGGAGAGAACAGGACTTTGTTTTGAAACAGCACTTCCTCAGGGTGGCCTCACTGTGTACACCAGGGTGGGTGAGTGGAAAGGTCTGATAAACCTTACACAGCAGAGCCTAAAACTACAGGATAAGAGCAGAAAAATACTATGTCTTTCTTTTTCAGTGTTTTGCGATGTTAGCATGTATGATAAAATGAGAATGAGATCATTCTAATTTTCTGGTTTCTTCTATGTTATCGAATCCTGTTGGTAAGCAAAGAGTGCATTCTGTCACATCTTACAATTGCGATGGAAACACATCTGCTCTGACAAAACCACTGACTGTAGAGTCAGCTGAAACTTTGCTATGGGTTTTATTACTATTATTTAAACTTTCATTAGTATTTATAATCAGCCTAGAAAACATCTAGAAAGGATGTGAGAGATTGTTGTTTATTACACTTGCTTTGGATTCTTAGCAGAGAGTGAAATCACATTTATATTATAGGTGCAGCTATAGAAACTATGAATAATAGCCTTTCATAAACATATCACCATAAAGCCTTTCATAAACACATTAGTTCAGAAGTCCAGGTTGGTCTCACTAGTCTCAAAATGGTTCCCTTGCATTCATTCATGCACCTAATAGTTACGAAAGTTCTGAGAGCAACGTTCACCCGTACTACTTAAGTTGAGAGAGCTGCCTGGGCTCTGGCCTGGACCTGGGAACAGTTGTGTCCCACTAATGTGAAGCTAGGGTTGATTACGATCCTGCTAGTGGCCCCTGCCCCAAACACAGCCCATACAGTCACCCAGCGCTCTCCTCGAACCCATGCTGCCATGTTCGCTGCCCACTACAGGTCTCTCTCCCAGCCTCTCAATTCTGGGAATAAATTCCTCCAGAGTCTTTAAAGACTTTTGCTCTGCTTTTGGTATTCTGCAATTTGACTACTGTGTTCAGATGTGAATTCATTTGTATTCACATTACTCAGACTTGGGCTTCTTGAATTTTAGGATTCATTGTTATTAACTATGAGAAAGTCTCATCCCCCCTCCCTTTTTTCTAATACTACTGGTTCCTTTCTTGTCTTCTTTATTCACTCCTGGAATTCCTATTGGATACTCATTGTGCTATCTCATTCTATCCCCCCATGTCTCTTAATGGCTCTTGTTTTCCATCTCTCTATCTTTCTGTTTTTCATTTTAGGTAAATTCCTGAAAGACACGTGGCACAGTGGTTGAGTGCACAGACTTCAGATTGCTTGGACAATAAACCATAACAGCTCAGTGCCTGTTTACTTGTTTGTCACCTGGGGAAAACAATACTACCCACCTACCTATGGCTATTGCGAAGATTAAATAAAGCTTTTAGAGCACTGTCTGTCCACATGAAGCACTGTGTAAGGTTACATATTATACTCCAGTTCACTAATTCCCTCTTCTGCTATCTAATCTGCTTTTAATTTAGTCACTGAGACTTTAATTTCAATTTTTTTTTTAACTTCCAGAAGGTCTGCTGATTTTTTCAAAGTTGCCCTTTTCTATACTACCTCAGTATTTTCTTGAGTTTTGCTTCCTTCTTTGAATCATTTGAAACACTAATTTTATATTCTTTTAGATGGTCCTGTTTATCTTCATCTTATTTAGACTAAAAGACAAAGTTTGTACAATAAGGCTCTGAAAATGCTGTCCAACAGAACTTTGCAACAATGGAAATATTCTCTCAACTGCTCAATATGGTAGCCACGTGTGGCCAATGAGCACTTGAAATGTGGCTGGAGTAACTGAGGAATAAATTTTTAATTTTATTGCATTTTAATCTATTTAAATAGCCACATGTAGCTACTGTATTGGAGAGGACAAATCCATGATCTGCACTCCACCCCAATCATTCTGTTACCTCTCTGACCTCACCTCCTACTTAGAACCACCTTGTGCACACCACTCCAGTCACATGGGCCTCCTGGCTGTCACTTGAATATGCCACGGACACAGGCATTTTGAAACGTTTGCACTTGCTGTTTTCTTCCTGGAAAGCTCTTCCCCTAGATGTCTGCATGGCTTGTTCCTTAACCTCCATCAAGTCTGCACTCAAACGTAACCTTCATGAGGTCTCCCTTCGCCCGTCTCGAAATGGCAAATTTTTCCCCCAATGCATTTTCTACCTCCTTTCCTGCTTTTCCCTTTAACACTGATCACTGTTTAATGCAGCATGCATTTTTATTTATTTATTTTGCTTGTTATCCCACTAGACCATATTCCATGAGAGAAAGGATTTTTGTCTGCTTTGTTCCCTGCATATCCCCAGCAACTAGAACAGTGATCAATAAATATATGCTCAATGAATGAATGGTCAGAAGTTCTTGAGATTCTGTCCTGTTTGTTGTTTCTACTGACTCTTGTTCACAATGGTTTGTGTCTGTGTGGCTTCAGATTTTTGATTGTGGGCCTTCCCTTAGCAAGGCATTTTCCTCCTTGTGAAAACCACATCATCACATCCTTTCCCAGTGGTTTTGCATTTATTTCTGTCAGGTACGCCAGTTAGAGGTGCCAGATAAAATCTAGGATATCCAGTTAAATTTGAATTTCAGATAGACAACAAGTAATTTTTAGTGTAAGTATGTTCTGTGCAATATCTGGGATGTATTTATACTAAAAAAACTATTTGTGCCCTTTATTTTTATTTGCAAAATCTGGCAACCCTAACACCAGGACTATTGCCAGCCCTGCACCAGGTTTTATTTTATCTTTGGACTGGTAGTTCCTAGACTCTGCTGAAAATTTAGACCCAAACCTGTGTGAGGCACAGGCCCCAGGCTTCAGGTTAAAATTTCTCAGGGGAGACTTCTCTTTTCATCTAGGGCCATTCATCCTTTGTTATCTGTCTTACTGAGCAGAATTTTTAAGGTTCGCCCTTTTACTGTTCTAACTCCCTACTATGCCTAACCCCAAATTTTGTCTCCTATCCCTTTATGGAGGTTAAATACCCAGCATCTGGTAACAAACTCTCCCCCACTCCTAAAATGTCCAGTGCTTGTCACTCTCAGTTTCTTCTTTGATTCTGACACCTGGGTATACTTCTTTATTTCTTGACATTAGCTGGGCCTTTTAAAGAATTCTGATTTTATTTTACCTAACATTTCTAGAAATTTATAGACAGGTTTTCATCTTATCTAGTCTGCCATCTTGCCAGAGTGCTGCCTCCACAATAGGCAGGAGATAATGTATTTATTGTAAATAGCACAGGCTTTAGAACCATACAGAACCTGGGATTTAATATTTTTAACTACATGATTTCAAACACATCACTGACGTTAATTATGCAAGGAAGCCATTAGACTGAGGTGGCTCTAATGCCATGGCGGCCTGTATAAGCAACCCAAAACCTAACCCTGTAAGTGCCTCGAGGTTCCAAAATCAAAACACTAAGGATGACCAATCCACAAGTAGCCAACTAGGCTTTAAGCCATAGGCAATCAAATAATTTCCTCTCTTTGCTTCCACACTTCTAAGTCTTTCCCTTGGCTCCTTTGGTGATATGCTCCCAACCTCACCCAGTTTGAATCCATAAACGTGCAAATTAACTCTTAAAATTGTTAATATGCCTCTTTTTCTAAACCTACTTCTTATTCCCTAAAGTGGAAATGATTATAAAAGGGCTGTTGTGAAGACTGATTCAGTTCAGTGTTTTGAACACAGTAGGTGATCAAAAATATTAACTCCTTTTCTTTCTGCCCAGTGTATAATCTACACCGTCTTCCAAAACCGTTCCTCTGTCTTTTCATGTGGAGGTTGCCTTTTCTCTTCAACCACTGCACTCACCGTGGCCAGGAGGAAATGCACGCCGCCTTCCTGATACCCACATCCCGATACCCGTTCATTGCCACTTTTCCCCCACCATCAAAACTCTTTGTGATGCTCATGCCACCTAGTTCCATGACCTTTCCTTTGGGGCTGTGGTACCTAGTATTTTCCAAGCCACTGTCCCCATTCAGTAAGGGCTTTCACCTAGTGCCAGGTCTTCTCCATTCTTCCTCTGTAATCATTTTGGAGAATTCAAGTATCCCGCATGGCCACTTTTATGGTTTTTTTGACATCTGCTCTTGTAACCTCCGCTCCATGTAAACCACCTCCACACGTCCACACTCTTATCAGCAAGAACTCCAACTCTTAAGTCTTAGTAATTCTGTCTCTACACAAAACCTCCTATTCTTCTGATTCCTTGCCTTTCATTCTAATTATTCATTGATATTAAGATATTTAATGCCTAGATCCATCATTTTCCTCAGGTTAATATTTTTAAGTTGCATTTTCTTCCTCCTCCATCACTTGAAATTTTATCTCGGCTTTTTCACTCCATTGTCTCTCCAGGAACCCCAAACTTTGAGGCCCCAACAAGATAAGTCCCCTTCAGGACATCACCTCCACATCTCTCACAGCAGCAGGAAAATATTCACACTGGGGCTCTTACAAATTCCTACTTTCCAGTTTACCCTGGGCCCAATCTCTCCTCAACGCTTTCACTTATCTTTGACCTGCTTATTTTCCCATCCCCCTCAGTAACTATAGTACATAAAAACTATTTCTAGTCAAGTTTAAATCCAGCTTAACCATCACAACCCTCTAATAGGCAGAATATTACATTTTGAATCTGCTGCCCCCTGCTGACATTTTACCAAGTTGCAAATTTTACCTTTCCAAAGCCATAGAAGCCAGGTTTTCTATGGATTCTATACCTAATTTTCCTTGTTATAGTCCATTCATCTATCTTCCTATATATAAGCCAGAGGTCTTTATTATGATGGATATTTATCATTTTCTTGTGGTTCTATTAGTTTTTGCTTTATGTATTTTGAGGCTATTTTAAATCGGTATATACAAGATTAGATTTTAATTGGTAGTGAGTTGATTCTTTAAGATTTTAAGTAGTGTTCTCTAGCCCTGATCCTGCTTGCTTTTTCTTAAAGTCTATTTTCTCTTATGTGAATATAACTATTTCAGCTGCCCTTTGGAAAATATATATATACCCAGTGTATCTACTTTACTCTTTCACTTTCAAACTCTGTGTCCTTAGGTTTTAGGTGTGTTCCTTGTAAACAACTTGTTGCTGGATTACTTTTTCCAATTTGAATTTTCTTTAAACTGAAGAATTTAGTCTTGATTAAGCACTATCAAAATCCAATCCCAGTAGCACTCCCTTGGCTCCTGCCAGTATATGCTAATTATTACATTTCTGGCTTCTAGTCTTTTCCCTTATCAGGCCCAGCACATCCACAGCAAGGCTCTGCGAGGATTTAACCCTAGCTACAGGCCTGACAGCCACAAAGTAGGTGGGAGCAGTTATTGTCTGAGCGGGGAGGCGTAGGGGTTAGGTAGCAGCCTCTGCAGCATCTTCTAGCATAAGAAGTGACTTATTGGGGAAGAGAGGGCTACCGCAAAATCAGGAGTAGGGACTGCAAAGTCAACATCCTCATGGCATGTTGCAAGATTCTAGGTTTTCTCTACCAGGGCCTTGACTTTCACAAAACAGAACTTGGCTGAACATTTAAGTCTCTGAAACTCTGTAACTACAACAATTATACGTTTAGCTTGAAGCACAGCTTTCAACCTAGGCCTCCTTGTAAGCTCCCCAGAGATACCTTGGCTCTCATATTTCAGCACTAACAGTTTGATAACAGCCCTCAGCCACATTCTTCTGTTGTATTGATAACCACAACCTAGCAGCAACCAGCCAACTCTGCTCTTCTTGTAGACATCGTTCTCCCCCTATTTATCAAATACCTGCCTCACTGAACTTCTAGAAAATTCCTCTCCATGGGGATATTTGCTCAAGTTACCACCTGTGTCTGGGGTCTCCAAGACCACCCCCACACTGAGTGATCTGCTAGAAGGACCCACAGAACCAAGCACATATAACTGTACTCACAACTATGATTTCTTACAGAGAAATAACATCAAACAAAATCAGCCAAGGGAAAAGGCAATGAACAAACCAGAGGAAACCAAGCACAAGTTCTAAGGGTCTTGACCCAATAGTCACATGGCACAACCATAATTCCTTCAACAATGATGTGTAACATATATACTGTCCACCAGGGAAGCTTGCCCAAGCCCGGGCATAGGTGGCCAGGGTTTTATGGAGCTCAGCCATGTAGGTGTGGTCTGTCTAGCATGTACCAAAATTTCAGATACCCAGAGGGAAAGCAGGTGTTCAACATAAACTTTATTGCTTGTACAAACATTTCAGGCACAGTAAACTGCCCTTATCAGTTAATAAATGGAGGAGAACATGCCTGAAATCCCAATTGTTAAACATTAGCCAAAGGCGAACCTTGCATGCAGGTCTTTATAAGGAAAGCAGGTTTAGGTCTGCTATGCTAACTCTCTTTTCTGCACACCATCTGTGAAATATTTAATAACTGAGCCATGACCTTGTGCCAAGGAGTACATATACCACACTTACCGACCAGGATGTCATCCTCTTCATCCTTTGGGTGAGAGATGAGCCAGCTCCTAATCTCTGATTAACCTGTTTGCTCACATCTCACTCCTGGTCTACTTTTGTTAGTCTGGGTCCTCCAAGAAGCAGACGCAAGACGAAGAAGCAGATACCAAGACCAAGAAGGGATAAGCTGTGTAATAGATTTAATAGAGGCAACACTGGTAAGGAAAAATAAGGAAAGAGGAAGGTTGGATGAAAGCAACTTAGAGAATAATGTAATTGTACGGGAGTCTAACAAGACCTCCAGAGTCCTCAAGCCGAAGTCAAGGAGTCATAAGATCCCTCTCAAGATCAGTCCTTGGCTGAAAGCAGCGTGAGAAGCGGAGCCTCTGCATGAACACAGGGATGGGTTTCAGAGTGCAGCAGCTAGGCGGGCCTTCACTGTGTTATGCTCCCACCTGTTGGAGATCTGAGTCACACTTTCGTGGCTGCCACCACAATGACTATGGCTCTCAAAATACACTTGAAAAATATTCGCTATCAAACAAATATTTAGTACTAACAGTACACAGGTTGCAATACTTTTTAGTTAAGTGTTATAAAACCACCTAAAATAGAACACTGATTAACAATGAAAATATGAATAATCTTTCACATTACATTAACTGAACAATAGTCTATGGATGAATTCTGGAGAAAAGACATTTCCAAATTGCTTTGTGAATTGGGAGTTTAAACTGATAAGGACAGCATTCTGTATTAGTACTAAATCAAGGTTAGTCAATGACAAAAAATGTGTTACAAAATGTTTGTAACTCAAATAATTTTCTGAAATATGATTTATATTAATAGAGTAAATATCATTTGTAAGTTTATCTTCCTGATTGACCTCAAATACCTTTAGCAAAAAAAAAGGCATTCCTACACATTTTACACGACGTTCTTATGTGGACAATAAATGACCATATGTAAAACTTCTGAGGTAAAGAAACAGAGCAACGTTTACAGATGTTTCTAAAAATTATTTTACACATAATTTGGGAACTTCTAAACTGTATACACTTAGATGATAAAGTAGAATAATATTTTCTTTAGTATCTAATATTATCTAACAGGATTGGTTTTCTAATTTTTATTAATGTTATCCTCATAGATAACATTGGCCATCAATATTTGTAACACAAAATTAACCCAAGGAGACTATAGAGTTTTTGCCATCTGCTAAGTTTCAACAGAAAGCTGGTCCCCATAGTTGCTCTGGCAATTCCTTCCAACATGTTTTTAACTAACTCAGATTAAACAGTTCCTAAGATCAAACAGTTAATTCCTACCAGAAAATAAATTGTTCTACCATATTAACTAGGTTCGGCCTTTGCATGCAGCTTATGACTTGGTACAAACAACAGAAGCTACTAGAAATAAACAATAAACAAAAATATTAAATGTGAAAGATAAAGTTTACTTTTAAAAAAATGAGATCAATATCATTTTCATGTAGAAGATGCCATTTTTATTTACAGGCTAATAAAAAAATATTAAACTCAACTTAACTAGATATAATACATTTGTCATAAATCCTACAGATGTGAGGCCTACCTAAGTGGAAGACTGGATAGGTGGGATAATGGATTACATAATAAGGATATCAAATAATGTGCAGCTTAAACATGAAAACATTAGTCCACTGTGGAGGTGGGGTGAGGAATAAAACCAGCACCAAGACAAGCTGTGCTAACTTTTGGCAACTGTTCAGTTATAATTACCAAGACACAAAATTTTCAACTCTCTTAAATCTAATTTAACATGTCTCATAACCCAAATGTTGTTTTTCCATCATATTCACAACAGATACTATAAAAAAAGAATTTAGAGGTTAACATGTAAATATATACACACACACACACAACCCTTATACCTTACTGAAAATTTTTTCTCAGCTACTGTGCGTATGTGCATTTGTATACTTTTTCCTTTTTAAATGTAACAGCTATGCAACAATTCTCTCCTTATCTGTTTGGTTTTGTCCTAAAAACTTGACTGTTGAGTTTCCTATAAATGTGAAAATATAAAAACTGCTTCTCATTTAGTCCTTTGGAAAAAGTCTATAATTCTTAGTTCATCCCCCCCCAAAATCATATATTCTGAAATAAACTTTTAACTGGGTACTTTTTAAACATCTAACAGGATGCTCACAGTAGCATCTGAGCAATAGTGCTCTCATGTAGGCTTGTAAACCAAGGTTAAACAGGAATGAAAAGGGAACTGACCTGTGTGTACAATTTTAAATTTTAAACTACACAGAAATTTTTTTATTCTTCTTATCAGGTCCTTGAAAGAAGTTATATCATAACCATTTCATACAATCGTTTATATTACATATCATTCTCATAGATATGCCAGTTCAAAGGTCTAAAAAAATTCTTTATAAACTTATTAGATAGGTCTTAAAAATCAAAAGGTTTTAGCTAATAGTTCCTAAGAATTCAGTCACAGTAGATAAAAGACATTCTCTGAAAAAAATGTCATGGTCATCCCATTCTGGACTGTGTTTTAAAAAGATAAAATGTGGTTTCAAGTCACAACCAAAAAGTTTTCAGATATGCTACAATATAAATCTTTTGGCTAAATAAATACACTAGCTAAAATCTAGTTTGCAGATCTCATGTCATGCATGGGAATGAATAAGGAAAAACATTTTTTTTCTTTTAAGAGGCCTAGCCTAGCATGTCAGGAACAAACAATAACATGTAGCTTGCTTATTCAGTTGTGCAATTAAATACTAACTTTTGCTTAGAGGCAATATTATCCTACAAGGTATTTTAATATCAGTAACAATATATACTATGAAGTACATTTCTATTACAAATTAACATGGTGACATAACAGATGAACAAAACCACCCAAAACAAACCATAAATGAGCAATAGTTAAAACATAAAATTTATAAATAGCAAAACCATCAAATAAAGTATATACATTTTATAGATTTACCTATGAAGAAATATATAGTACATCTAGGAAAGACAACAAAATGTGTTGTATATCGCATTACATCTGAATATTAGAAATGAAGAACTGATAATACTCTGAAAGCCTTGTAGGCTTTCCCCCACTTAATATTCTCTTAAATGCCTATCCTTTAAAACAGTGATATTGGCAAAAACTATCACCCCTTTTAAAACAGTATTTTCACTTTCTCACAGGGTACAGTGGCCTGCAGAACAGTAAATAAGAACAAGTACTCCATGCTTAATACTGGGATAACAGAATTAGCAAATCTGTAGTTCACATATGAAAAGCACTTTAGCCAAACTTACACTGACATGAAAAGCCAACCAGAACAATTACTGTATCAAAAGGTTTTCACCTTATCTTTCCCACCAGTACCGCAGCTTTTTAGATGACTGGCAAATCAGTTACTTTCAGAGAAAACTGTTTAATGCAATGTGTTTTGTTAACACAGTAATAAATTTGAGCTTTTACTGCCAGAAAAATGTATCTTTTGAGTGCCAGGACAATTACATCAAGACAAGTTTTATGAACAACTCAAAATGTATAAAACTGTCTTTTGTGGATCCTAGAAAAAAAACATTTGAGATTAAACATTAATAATGTAACGCTTCAATACCATGCACACAGATCAACATAATTGAGAACAGATATTTCACATCCATCTGCATTTCTTTTAAAAACCAGAAAAGTACAATGTACATTACTTTTCGGAAACTATTTCTAGTGCAGCACTGATTGATAAAGGATTGCTTAAACAAAACTATTTTGTACTGCACTGAATAAAACTGAAAGGCAAACTTATTACAATAAGTAATCATTAAGAACTGATTTAGATATCGGGATGCAAAATATATTTAAAAAAACAAACAAACAAACCATCTTTCAGTTTAAAAAAAATTAAGTCAAATCTACATTTCTGTAATTCATTGAGTCAAGTTCTGTCCTTCGAAACACCACACTTAACATTTTGGAATATATAATATAAATTCATTTATTCCCTTGTATTTAAAGGCTATTTCTTATAAAATATCAGTTTGCGCTATCCTTCTACTAAATGGAAAAGGAACCAAAACAGTAGTGCTTCATTTAGTACTGAAGAGCCCAATAACATCCCTTTAGGAAACACATGCTTTGGTGCTTTACAATTTTTTAAGAAAATCAAAATTGCTTTACATGCAATAGCCAATTATGGTATACCACAGAAAACAGGGAGTTATGCATTTAGAATTGTTCACATGAAGCCCTGAGGTACCCGCCTTTCATTTAGGCAACGAACAGCCTCCCTTGACCTTGTATAGTCTTTGTCCCATCTTCCCTAGTGCCCCAAATTCGGAAAAGTCTGATTAACAATCTTGAGTGGGGATACAGTCAATTTAATAAGATTTTTTATGATACAGACTGTGTAGATCATCTAATTTAGAAGCACCATCTTCTAGTGGAGTTTCACTTGAAGTTCCTAGGTCTCCATTTTCATGTCCATCGGTTACTGCCTTCTTATTAAATCCTAAAAGAGAAAAAAGAAGCAGTCATTTTCTAGAGTAAAAACAATAAAAAAGGGTCTTGTGATTTTAATGAGCAATAACATAGGAATGCTCACTGTAATTAATAGTAATATAAGGCAAACAATGGGGCCCTAAATTAGTCAAGTCGGCAGTTTCTGAAAAAGAAATTTTTCATTCTTACGGTAAATATCAAATATTATTTTGATTTTAAAAATATTACTTCTTGGATATATCTAAAAATTGTAAAACTTTTCACACCAAATTTTCCATGAAACTTAGAATAAACGCAATTGTAAAATTCAGTCAATTTTACTTGTACAAATATCTATTAAATTAAATTATAAATTTTATTTTTCTTTTACATTTTGCTTTAAGATTATTTAACTTCACTTCACTAAGGTACATACTAGTTTATTGCTAAAAATCTAGTTTGTTGGTAAGACAATGTCCAGATACAATTTAAAACTGATTTTGCTTTATCTACAAAATTGATAATAGGCTTTCAAATAAATCAGAGTGAGCTATGAAGTATGGACATATGCTAAATAAAACCCAATGGATTTATTTTTTGTGAGTTGAGTCCATTAATAGTAATATATCCTAAGAGCATCCATTTTTTGTTGAGTATCATTTTAATTGGTCTGCAATTTACATAGGTGATAAAGTATTTTAGCCTCGGTTGAAAAAAAAAAAGGAACGAGCCTTCTAATTCTGAGAGAAAATAGTAGAAAGGCTGAAAGATAATGAAATTACAGGGAGAGCAGCCTAACAGTATAAGGTTTTAACATATTGCCACAGTTTGTTTAAGATGCACGAGAATAATAATCGTTACTGCTGTCTCTACGTAGATAACTCATACAAGTTTACCAGAAGGGCACCAGTTCATCAGTTCACTATAAAACTCTATGCCAGAAGTTCTCAACTTTTTGGTCTCAGGATACCTTTGTACTCTTTAAAAAGAACTGAGGGCTCTGAAGAGCTTTTGGTAATGCTGATTATTAATGTTATGTGGGTTATCGATATTTACCATACTAGTAATAAAAACTGAGAAAACTAAAAAAAAATTGCTTTGTTAAAAATGACGAAAACCCCCAAAATGTTAACATAAATAACATATTTGTTTAGTGAAACTATATTTTCAAACCAAATTTAGTTAGAAGAATAGCATTATTTCACAGTTTTGCAAATATCCTTAATGTCTGGCTTTACAAAAGATAGCTGTATTCTCATATTTGCTTCTGCTCAGTCTGTTACAAGTATGAAAAAAGTTCACTCTCACACAAACATGTAGTTGGAAAAGGGAAGAGTAGCTTGATAGCCCTTTCAGGTAACTGTTAATATTCTTCTTGATATTATACCAAAATCTGACAACACAATTTAAAATCATATCAATAAACTTTTTGCATTGTTAACATTAAAATCCATTTGTCTGCCTTGTACTTTGAATGGCTTTCCCATGCAGCATTTTGTAACATCACATACTGGTCATTTGAAAAATATTAGATCACCGAGTTATGTAGCAATTCTAAAAGCTAATGCATTTCATTTTACTATATCAAAAAACCACATTCATTAATCACCACCAATCTTATCAGAAAAGTTCTTTAAGTGTGGAACAACTCTTGAGGTCGTGGTGGTTGATGCATGCATGTTTTATGAAATCCTAATTTTCACTTGAAAGCTCACATTTTATCACTGGCAATACTGTCAGTTGTTTTTCTTGAAGTAATGAACTCACTTTGTTCATTTAAAAAAAATGGCTGCCAAATCGCCTGAGCAAACATAACTTGTCATTCTTTCAAGTAAAAACTGTCTTCCATTAAAAAAATGGCTAATACAGCTAGCAACTTAATCACTTAAGTAACTTTTCATTGAGACCAGCACCTTGGTTCAGCACACAGACTAAGTGCTTTTTGCACACTTCCCATGTCATCACACAGAATATAAAAGGCAGTTGTACTCAATAGTCAAGATTTAATAAAATGAACAGTTTTTACTATATCATCAAGGATATTCTTAAGTGAAACTAGCATTTTCTTCTTTTTAACTCTGAGTGGATGGCAAGGAAGAAAACAATGATTACTAGTACAGTAGTGCCACTGCCTTGATTCATACTAAAGCACCAGTAATTTTACCCCCATTGTTTTTGTACCATCAGTGTAAATATCAACACAGCAAAAAAAAAAAAAAAAAAAAACAAATGGTTTTTTAGTATTTTTATGAAAAATTCTAATATCACGAACCCTCTGAAAGGTCTCAGGGACCCCCTCAGAGAACCATAGATGACAATTTAATAACTACTGCTCTATGTAAAAGAAAGTGTTAGAATTTTTCTATACAATATGAGTAAATTATAGAGATGAAATTAAACCAAAAATCCTCACAATCACATATCCGGATTATAATAATCATAAAACTACAGTCTAATCCCTTACTCACATTTCACCTGTAACTCATTGTATTATGAGAAGAATTTGTATTAAGACAGCAAGATAACATTAAAGTAGCTTTACTCTAAAAGGCATGTTGGTCTTTGTTCAGAGTCTAGAAAACTTGAATTTTATTTATTTTTAAAGGATCACTTGTAGTTCAATGACTGGTAACGTACCTGTCTTAAAGTCCAACATACATCTAGAAAAACTAATATGCAGATAAAATTCCGACAGTTATTGGTGTACAATAAAACTACAAGCAAGAAAAGGCTATTCATTCAGTTAATGACGTTTTCCCCATTACTAAAACAGTGTTACTGAAAAACATCTAAGGCATTCATACTGCAAAATTTTATTAATAAATACATTAATAAGAACTTTCAGAGTGACTTTTACCTTGTAACACTTTGATTTCCCCACTTGTGTCTTTGCAGCTAGCTCCAGGGTTACTACCTCCCTCTAACTCGTCAAGGTACAAACGGTAACGATGTCCACTCTCATCTTCATACTCCACATTTTCATCATCAGAATCCACTTCAGGAGCCACATAAACTACTTCAAATTCAATCTCACCTCTCTGAAATGAGGAAAGAAAATTAGGAAGTCAAGTTATTCTAACTGTAATTGAAAAAAGGATTTCTAAATTCTTTGTAGTGGAAGACAAGTGAAGAGCAGCACTTAAGACCTCAGATGCAGCTCCTTTCAAGACAACAAACAATAAAATTCTAGAATCTCAAGAGGGTGAAGAGGACTTCGAGGCTGGTGTGTCCAGACCAACCTCATGAATCCTCTATAAGTAATTTTCTTATAATACTGCAGTAGGTCTTTCTACTGTTCACAGTATTTTCGTTAATAGGCCTAAAATTAAAAAGGATGCTTAACTATTCAATTTATAGAATTTTGGAGGAGATTTTCAATTTAAGAGTCATTTTGTCATTTTGTGCTTTACATAGCAATTCAGCAGATTTATCTAAATAGTCAGATATTAAAGTTGTACCTGATGTCATCACACAAACTTTTCCTTGACTAATTTAAGAAATCTCTATACAATGACAAATTTTGTTTCTTACTGACGAGGTCTTGAACCTTTTCTTAATTTTCACTGAATATCAGACATAGTGTTAATCAAGGTATTCTGTTCAGTAATAATAGTAGTCACTGTATTCACTGTGCAAAATTATATCCTTCAATCCTCAGGATAACCCTATTGTAGTCCCTTTTACATAAATGAAAAACCTTAGTGAGTCCTGGAGAAAGCAGATAATTTTCCCAATATGATGAACAAGTAAAACAGAAAAATAGAAATTTGACTCTTTGTTCTTCTAGATTAAATGTATATTTGTATAATTATTAATAACAACTTTATGTTCAAATAAAAAAGTTGATTATTTTATAAATTATAATTGTCATTTAATAAAAGACTACAATCATTACACGTGATGAGTCTGGTATCTGCAACTCTGAAAATTATGGCCTGCCTTTGCTTAAAAGCAAGCATGGTTTTTTGTTTTTTTTGTTTTTTTTGTTTTTTTTACTGCTACTCGCTGTTAGTCTCTTTGGTGCTCCTTTCTTCCCAGCAGTTTAAGGTTATGCTTCAGAATTTTAATATGCGCTTATCGTTTCCTTAAAACTCTTTATGACTGCCTATTTGTATCTCCTTTACCACAGCTGCCATTCAACCCATTCTCGTACTACTGGATGACAGCCAAGTTGGGTTGAGAAGACACTAGCTTAAAGAGGCACGGCTGCATTCTTAGATCTCCCTTATCAGACAATGCTTTTTAAAAAAGCATTTTGGGGAGACAGATAATAATGCAGTGGTTTTTGGTAAAGTTCTAGGTGACAGAAGTAGGTATGTGGGTGGCTGTCACAGAAACACAGATTTTAGGATTACTATAATGAAGAGCTTTCTAAAAATCAGCAATGTTCCACAATGGAATGGACTGCTTTATCATCAAGTTATTCTTTTAATGTAATTATTTAATTAGAGATATTGCAGAGATTTATGCATCATGTAGAGTTGAGCTAAATGAGCTATAAATTCACTTTCAAGTCTGAGATTCAATTCTACACTGGCTTATCACACTGATGATCCAACAAACATTTCAAGTAGTACTAATGCCTCTCCAATTCCCTCAACCCTATTCTTGAAGGAAAAACAAAACAAATCTTAAGTACACTAAATAATAAATACGACTTCTGGATATGGATCTCAACTCTATAATTTGCTCTGCAACTTTGAAAAAATCATTTATTTCTCTAAGAATCTTAGCCTACTCATTTTAAATAAGAGGGTTGGGCTAAATGACTTCTAAGGACTCTTTCAGTTCTAACATTTATGACTATAAAATAAATCCACTTCTAGCACTGTTTTTTCTATAATACTTCATATTTGTATAATGCTTTTGTCATTAATGATGTTTTGCTCTCTAAGAGTCAGGTCCTGTTCCGAGCACTTTATATGTATTAACATACGTAATCCTTACAGCTCACTACAGCACTGGACACTGCAGCACAGAGGATGTAAGTAACTTGCTTAAAGTTATACAACTGTGGAAAAAAGAAAATAAAATCTCCCATTTCAGTAAATCAGGCTGAATGTCTTCTATAAAAATCCCAAATTAAACGAAACTGTTATCTATATATAAACACTTTACTATTTGAGAAATCTCCTAGGGAAGTATAAAATATTCAATAGATTCAGAAAGAATCAATTGATAGATCCAATTTAAATTGCATAAAGGGAACCTACCTGCTGGGAAAGAATGGTTACAGCTTCTTTATGTTTTGTATCCCTTAGGTTAACTCCATTAACAGCCAAAATAGCATCTCCAACATGTAGGCCTCCACATCTATCAGCAGGTTGCCCTGGGTGGATCTCAGAAATAAGGATTGGAACACCATGTTCCTTCCCACCCTGATGAAAAAAACAAAACAAAACAAAACAGGGCAGTAAATTTAGTTTACTCTTTGTATAACCACAGACTATTCAAACAATAAAATATTTTCTTCAAACTATATTTCAAAAGCACCTATACTATCTATAAATGCTGAGTGAAATCTTATTTGCTGCTTAAGTAATGATAAATTGTGAGCATCAAAGGGTTACCTCTTAGTAAACGATTAATAACATACATGTGCTTTTTCTAAAAGCATTCTAGAGCCAAACAAAACAAAACAAAAACCTACAACTGGCTAAACTCTTTTAAATATAAATAAAAATATTTGATGTACTAGTAGTCTACAGCACTATTAGATTTTATCGAATCTAAATCACTATAAATGGTATAAGACATTCCATTCTTTTATGTACCACAAAAATAATTTTAAGATCATAAGATGAATCGCAATTTCAGATGTTAAAGCGCAAAAAATATGCAATGTAGAAATGATGAAATGCAGTATTTAGTATCAATCACTCTCCATCCTGTAACACAGTTATTTGTGTGTATCTTATTTCTTCTACTAAATTTTTGAAGGCAGTGCATTTGAAAAGGTAGGTAATTCAATAAATATTCATTAGATAAACTTTTTATGGTAAGAAACATTCCTACATTAAGCAATACCAGAAAGTAAATGAATTTATGCAGTGCCTAAGCATTACCAAATGAAAATTAGTGTAAAACCACCTTATTCATTCATCTGGAACAAAGCACTGAATAACAGCAAAATGACTCCAAATATATGTATTTTATAAAAGATCGCTCACAGGAATGGTGCCCAAAACAACTCTTTATAAAAGCATCAAATTTAAAAAGGATGAATGTTTGGACCCAAAAGTTAGTCGAATCTGACAGCAAAGAAGTGAGATAAAGATAACATACACGCTAGAGAAAAAAACTATGTATTCTGGAGCCATTTAACATAGAAGAAAACGGTCATATCCATTTCCAAAGGATCCTAGAGGCATCACAGAATATGGTACAGAACTATGAAAAATGTTAAACTATGCTTATTAAAGGTATAGTTAACAGTTATTAGGAAGATTTACATACAAAAAATAAGTTTACAAAAAAAGTTTACACAAAAAGATTGCCCATGGGGGCAAATTTAATTATTTAGTAAATATATCCAGAATACTTTGTCAATGATGTTCAATGAAGGAGCATGATTATACTAGGTAACTATAGAAAAGAAGACTGGAAGCACTACTTCTTACTGTAATTGAAATGCCAAGGCCTTCGTGATCTTCCTTAAGGAGGAGAACTTTTCTGATGGGACCAACACCTTGGCTTTTCTTTAAAGAGTCTTGATCCTTATTGGGGAGGTGGGGGAAGAAGAAGAATTAGTATTACTTAAATAATATGCCAAATAGAGTAAACTCATGTTATATAACTAGTTTTTATTATTATTTTTTAAACTTGTTTTTATTAAACAAAGAAATCTTCCTTAATTTCCTGCAATGGATACACAGCATAGTGTTAGGAAAGTAATTAATGGATAAAATGGAAAAGTGAAAATAGCTGTTCTGTTAATATAGTGAAATGTATAGATGATTTTCTCACTCTTCTGTCACATTCTCTTAACACTGATATATCTCTTTTTAAATTGTAGGACATTACAAAAAAATTGCCAAGAATTAATTGATAAACAAATGCCTTCGAGAAATGAAAGCGAGTAATTGTTTACCTTCACTGGAAAATATCTTTAAGATCTACATCCATTTTAACTGATTTGTACAACTGCAAAACCAATTACCAAACAGATCCTTCATTACTTTTTCATTCCTTTGAGCTCCAGAGTCTACCTTTTAAATAAAGGAGCTTGCTCCATTAATAATTCTTCCTCTGGTACCTTTCTTCTTTTCCTGTTTACTAAGCTCCTTCTCTATTCAGCATATAAACAAACCTCTTTATTTTAAAGCCTCTTATAGCTTTAAAATACTGATCATGTACAAACTCAAAACAAAATGAAAATCCTTCAATCCTTACTTATCTTCTTTAGCTACTATCCTCCTCCATCCTTCCTTAATCTTCACACAAAATTAATCCTCACTGCATCCACTTCCTTGTCTCCCACATTCATTACTCCAAACACTGTAATTAGGGTTTTGTTCCCACTTGCTCCACTAAAATTGTATTCTCTACAGTATCTGGTAACCAGTATGGTTACATCCAATGAAGACTTTTTAGTCACTACTCTAACCTTCAGAAAGTAAATACTGTTCACTACCTTCTCCTCGAAACCCTCTCTCTTCCATTTCCTTCGTTTCCATTACACTTCTTTCCCAGATAGCTTGTATCTGATAGGTCACCAAAGGAAGGAACCTGAGATGGAGCTATTTCCTCCATAAAAGTTTCTTTCCATCCTTGTCCTCCTTTTTAACTTCTATATACTTTTCCTGGGTGACGTAATCAATTCCATAGTTTCGATTATAAACAGATGGATGATTTGCCTAATATTTCTTTTTTAAAACTAAATTTATCGAGGTGACACTGGTTAATAAAATTATAGTTTTCAAGCGTACGATTCGATAATACATCATCTGTATAATATTGTATTGTGTGTTCACCACCCAAAGTCAAATCTCCTTCCATCACCATATATTTGACTCCTTTTACCCTTATCTACCACCCTCCCTCCGCCCTTTTCTCTCTGGTAACAACTCAACTATTGCCTATTTATCTAGTTCATTTGTTAATGAACTCAACTATTGCCTATTTATCTAGTTCATCAGTTTTATATCCCACACATAAGTGCAATCATATGGTTCTCAACTTTGTCTAACTTATTTCACTTAGTATGATAATCTCAAGATCTATCCATGATGTCATCTAATATTTCTTCAACTCTGACTTATCTCATGAATTCCCAAGTCATATATCCAACTAGATACATCTTGGCTGTCCACTGGCATTTCATACACTACACGTCTAAAACTGATATCACCCTCCTTTTCCCCATAACCTTCCTTTTCTTTTATATGCTTTATAAATGAATGGCATCAACTCACTCAGTTGCCCAAACCAAAACCTAGTCTTCTCACTTACCTACTTAACCAAAAGCAGTGAGTCAACAAGTCCTCTTGATTTTAATTCTATCAAACCTGTCCTTCCATTCAAATGCACTTCCTTTATTCTCATCACTTTCTCCTTAAATTATTATAGTATCTAAGGTATCCCCTCATCTTCAATGTGACCCCCTTCCAACATATCCTCTTAACTATACCAAAGTGTCAAACATATTAAACCTTATTAAATTTAAAACTCCTATGATTATCAGGTTAAAGTTCAAACTCCTTTATTTAGCATAAAGTAACTTTTGTTATATGGCCCCTGCTTAGAAGTTAACAGGCACCGCCAATATCCCAGAAAAGACAACGGTACATGTAAGTGCTTAAAGCCAGCCCCACTTCTCTCTCACCAACTCCCTGTACATGTCACTCCTTACAATAACCTTTGCATTATTAAAGGCAATAAATAATTTTACTATTTCAGGCCATGCTTTATCTGATTTTAAGATATGTGAGCCACTGGGTAGGATTTGACATGCTTTTATTATATTACAGTCTGTATTATCAGACAGCTGTTATAATGAAATTTGATAAATATTTATCTAGATAAAAAGGAATGCTCCTGTACATGAAGGCTAAAGAAGTAGACAATTGAACACTGATCTCAAATTCCATCCTAATTCAAGAACAAACAGGTGTAAATGTTAGTTCAGAAACTACATTTGCATCTAGCTACCAAAAATTCCATTAAAGAACCACTCAAAAATATCTGCCAATTTATCAGTATGACCACACACTCTCTGCTAAGCTTAAAACAAATTTAAATATGTCTAATCATGATCCAGGAAAATTTTGAAATATAAGCCAAAGTACTAGTAATATGCATTTATTAGCAATAGTTCACTGTCTTCAGAAGTATCACTTCTAGGGCATTAGTAAATCTGTAGAGAGCTATGGGTTGTTGACACTTTTAAATATGTATCTGTTTTAAATAAATCTAATCCATTTTCACTTTTTAATTTAAGGTTTTAAATACTAGTAGAAGGACTTTCGATTAAAAAAAAAAAAGGAAGAGGTTGAGTGAGAAACAGTGGCAAAGCAAACATACGTGGCCCGGTGGTGCCTGCATTGGTCGTTTTAGGTCATTACGTCCTCTACAAGCTCTAATGACAGTTTTGTGACGATGCAAATGTATTTCAGCTTCCAACTGGTTCCAAAGCTTATCATGAGCAGGTCCCTTCATATCTCGTCCTAGTAACTGTATTTGTTGGACCCTTTATATTGGGAAAAGAGTTAATTTGATTAGTTCTTCATTATGCGTACTATAGAAAGAATTCAGAAGAATTACTGAACATAGTAAGTTTTTGTATAAATCTAAGTTAGTAATAAAACCAATACACAGGAACTTTCCAATGTCTATCTCTCTGATTTAAAAAGATATGAAACTCTGAAAAGAAACGTCTTCAAGGGAAAACCATTTTAAAAAAGGCATAAATGCGACCTTCTTTAGTCATAAATTTAATTCAAATACATTTAAGAAACCATTTATAAGAAGAATGTCACTTAACATGTGCTTCATGTCTTGCATGCACAATCAAGGTAGGTCATCGAACTCAGATACTATTGAATACTAGTCTTTAGATGAGGCTAACTGTAACTGTACAAAAACATTTCATCTAAAGAGTTTCTTTTCCAAAAAATGATTATTTTAAATGTACTAAATGTTATTAGAAAATGACATAAATTATTTTTATTTGCTCCACATCAGCTCTAATGTGACATTAAATTATTCAAGATGACATAAATTATTTTTATTTGCTCCACATCAGCTCTAATGTGACATTAAAACAATGAGCAGAAAATTATTTTAGTACTAATAATAAATCATCTAGAGTTTGTAAATAATTCACTGTGCAAGCAGAACTCTATATTGTGATAAAGTCACTGTCATTCCAACATGCTTTGAGGGGCACAAAAGATCAAGTTTCAGTGATCAGAGAAAGAATTCCTTATGAAGTTGTACTGTAACTGTGAACATCATTTGTTATGGTGTCAAGGCGAAATGGTTGAAAAGTGCAGCTGTAGAACTGTTTGCATTTCATAGTTGTTACTATTGTGTGTGTATGTGTGTCTGTGTATAAACCAGAAATACTTATTTAGTATAGCTAAATAAATCTGCAACATATAATGCTAGCAATATTAACAGCTATAATCAACCGCAAAATAATTCTTAAAATAAAGATTAATGTTTCATTTACTACAAGAGATTAAAGTTGACCTCATTAAATATCCAATTTGTCACCTAAGAGTACAAGGGTACCTATTTTTCACACACCTTCCTGCCAGTTCCTTATCCAAGTACTTGGCAGCCAGTCTTGCCCCATAAACCTCAGCCTGGAGAACAGCTATATGTCTACGAAGGGCTTCATTCTCTTTTCTCAGCAATTTCACTTCAGCTTCAAGTTGAGCCTCTTTCATTTTTTCTTTTTTGTTTGCTTCAAGCTCTCTCTCCTATTAGAATTAAAAAACATATAAATGAAGAAAATACTTTTAAGACTCTTGTGCAATGGACTATGTTCCATAAAATACACAAAAGCACATAGTCTATGATACTACCAATAAAAGCATAGGATAAAATTACTTCATTTCTATAAGATAGAATGCAAAGATTTGGATCCAGTTCTTTTTAATTAGTACCAAGAGGTTTTGGACCCACTTCTAGTAAGGATACTAAGAGAAGCCGACTTTTCTAAGCTCATGTTATTACATAATAGAAGTGGCTTCAATTTGCTATTTCCTAAAAATGACTCAGAAACTAGACTAAAAACAATCACTTTCCTGGTTGTGCCAAAATATTTATTTAATTTTAATGCAACAATTCCATAAAGCAAGTCAAAATCATTTAGTTACATAGAGATCTTCACTATAAAATTTTTATCATAAGCTCGCACGTGAGAAATATTGTTCAATCTACCTTAAAAGTATAAAACACAGGATGTCTATTCCTATGGCTCAAGGGTTACAATTGTACATGCCTTCAGGATCCAAGCAGAGCAAACAAGACAGAGAGGAGTGGAAAATGGAAGGTACGAAATCCTGCCTGAAGGCAGTTAAATTCTAATTCTAATTCTAATATATTCTCTCTCTCTCTCTCTCTCTCTCTCCTCTCTCTCACACACACACACACACACACACACACACACACGCACACACACACAATGTGACCAAACAAAACCCTTCTGAGAGGTGAATTAAGGGCTCTGATACATATTTTAAGTGTTATTTTTGGATCAAAAAAAACTATCCAAAAAATGCAAACTTGTATTTATCCTGAGTAGAACTTTTTCTGACTCACTAATTTACAGAATCTAAAAATTCTGTGAAAATATGGTTACATTTCTTGATGAGATGTGGAAGACACTTCACTATATGAGACTTAAAAGATCTACGGTAGTAACAGGAAAAATTGTTTCTCTTGAGCAAATGGCAAATGTCAGTTTCCATTGTATAGGTACTGATTACTGTAATTATTTCCCTTTTTATTTTGGATATTAAGAAGCTGAAATATTTAAACAAATTTTTTTAGCAATTCATAAAATATAGTATGGTACTAATTTAACTGTCTGTTTTGACAACAGTACATCAATATATGTTATTTTTAAACACTGATATATAATATATTCAAATACAAGACAGTGAGTACTACAATCTTCAAAATAAAAAAAAAATATACGCGCTAAAATGGATAACTACTAAATGGTGGATATATTTATCACTTTTTTATTAAAAATATTTGTTGTTATGTATGTGATAAACAGAGGAAGGTTAGCAGGCTTTTTCAACTTCTGCAAAAAAAAAAAATAACCAGTAGAACATAATTTCTAGATATTATTTTTAAAGAATTTGAAGAACTAATAACCTAAAATCCTCCTTTTATGACAACTTTGGAATTATTAAAATGTCAATTTACTTCAGAACCTACTTCTTAAAAGGGCAGGTATCAGTTTCCAAAAGAAACCATGGTTTGGATAACATGAAGAAAATTCTTTTTATGACATTTATTGAGGTTAATGCTGTTTCAGAAAAAATGTTCCTAAAAGACCAATAATTCTTTGGTTTATGGGCTCAATAAACTTTGTTAGGAATTATCTACTCACAATTATTTATGAAATCTGAGACACATATTAAACCACTGCTTTGCTTTGATGATTCAGACCCCTAATGAATCTGACCAACTCTCAGGCCTGGAATTAACAGATGTAACTAAGAAAAGGACTGAGAAAATGGAAGTTAATCCCATTTAAAGAAAAAAAACATTTCTTTAAATTAACCCTTTGATTATTATAATTAGGTTCAGTTTTAGGTTCAACCAAGAAGTTCATTTTATATTTAAACAGCTAAACAGTGTATTTTCAAAAGCAGTAAAGCCATATGATGCATTGGAATCCAATTAGGTTGAGATAGTGGGAAAAATATTAAAAATTTATATATTGTTATTTTCTAAAATAATTTCTGGTAAAGGGTTTCAAAATTCAGTTATAAAGGCCACACAATTATTTTCAAGACAGCTGAAAAGTTCCAACACATGCACTGGATGAATAAGAAACTAACCAACATGCACATTCTTTCTCTGGGAACAAATTCAAGAACAAAAAGAGGGAAAAGCTGGGCCTGTTTAATGTATCTTCAAAACACTCAACTGGAAAACCAATTGCTCTTTTGAAGTAAAGATGTGAAAGTTGTCAAAAACTGATGGGATCTGCAAACAATGGCTACAAATAGCAAACGAAAGAAAAATCTTTAACATTTAATGAGAAAGGAGCAATGGGTCACCCACTGGACTTTTCAGGTACTGGCCCATTAAGACTGGCATCATTAACATCATTTTCAAATACAAAGTGACAACATGTAATATGCAAATAAAACACTAAAAACACTTCAGCATGACATTAAAGCAAAACACAAACAGCATACTTACCAGCTCCTCCACAGAGGGGATGGACTTAAGACATAAGAAAAAAGTTTTATAATTAGAAAAACATCAAACAAATGAATTTATCTAGTGGCATAATCATCAAAAGGAAAATTCCCACATGTTGAATATCATTTGGGTAAAGTTCATTAAAACAAATATATTTGCAAATCTATAAGGAATAGTAACTGGATAGTATTAGATTAAAACGTTTTGTTTTATCAAAATTAGTTAACACACCTGGTGCAGTGTCATTCCATTATAGCAGCCTGCCTCAAATTTAATGTTAAAACTTCAGGTGAATTATTTTCTAGTGAAAATGTACATTGTTTTTTCAATGTTAATGTCAAATATTCCAAAGAAGCAGGTTTCTGATATGTGTCAGTTAAATAAAACAACACTACTAGCTTAGATTCTCAGAATTTCAGTATTTAAAAGAACTTTAGGAGAATGGAAATATTCATTTAAACAAATTCTAATATATCAGTATTATAAACTAATTAACCAATCAAATAGAATTAACTGAAAACAAGTAAAACCTAAAGATGCATTACTCTCATCATGAACACCATTTTACCTCCCACCTCTCCCAAGCTACATCTGTCTTATTTGTTGCTGTGTCCTCTATAGTTAACAAAGTGTCTGGCACATTGTACATACTCAATATATATGAAGTTAAAGTGAAATGAGACTTTAAAAAATCTAAACAATTTATATTGATTAAGAAGGCAATAGTTAATTGTGCAAAATGTATACAATGATAGATTACACAAAATACCAAACTGTTCAAGTGGTAGGGAAAATGCTTATATTAAAAGCAAAAAAAAAAAAAAATGTGCCACTGGTTGACACTCAATTCCATTTTCCCCTTCTTCCTTATTAACAGAACTCCAATTTAAATGGAGGTAATCATGTGACCAACTAAGAGACTGCCGTGCAACAAGGGATAGCCAACGAGATAGCTAAATTGATTGGCAAAACAATTGAAGAGGGTTTCATAAAAAGTTCTTTAGAAGAGGTTCACGCAGCTGGGAAGCATCTTTTTGCCCTTTCCTTAGATCCTCCCTTCTTTCAGCCCGGAATGCAGACATGAACAAATCCTGAGGATAGAAATCATGAGCTAAAAATGGCAGAGCACAAGAACAAAAGGAATCTGGATCCTTGATATCTGTGGAGCTGCCATACCAGCTCTAGACTGTCTGTCCAAGGGCTTCTTTAATGGAGAAAAAATAATTTGTATTAATCAAGAATAATCCCAATGTTACTTGGGATTTCTGTTATATGAAGCTTAATTAAATCCTAACTGATGCAGTAGGGCAAAAAACTGTCTTAGTCACAAATATCTTTTAAATATATTTATACAGATATTTTTAAATAGGAAAAAATCCTAGTAGCAGTTGGTTATTGATACTATAACTGAGTATCGCTGGGTGATAAGATTATGGATGATCACATTGAAGTTTACACTTCCTACATTTTCTAAATTTCCCAGAATGTGCACATAACTGCCTTTTATAATTAAAAAGCCTCATTAAAATTTGCTCCCTTCAATCTCTAAAGTTCATGTATGTATATGTTCCACTCTAAAGTACTTACCAATTTTGCTTTAATGGTACCAGAGTCAACAGTTTGACCAGTTTTAGCATGAAGTTGAAGTTGAATAGAGTGCAATTGTAAAAGCTGATCATGTACTTCTTTCTCCAATACAACTTTCTCTGCTTGGGTCTCTGTCAGTTCAGATTTCAGATCCACCAACTGTGCCTTAGAAAAAAACAATAAAAAATGTTAAGTATGCTTAATTTTCTTTATATTGACTCTAACAGTTATTATTCAAGAATGCTATAGACTATCTTTGAAAAGAATAGATGAACACCAGAAAACCATTATCTGAGCTACAGGACAACCATCTAAACCGACACAAAATTGATAGTACAAGTAAGATATTTGAGCGGCAATAATGCTCTACCATAAATAATATCTTCTAATAACAGAATGTTACTTCTTTTTACTTTGCTTACAAGGCTTTTCACTGTTTCACTTTATTTATAAGGTTTATGAAAATATATAGGTATGGGCTGGTTCGCCATCCTATAGAGATAATATGTGCTATAGTGGTAACTAACATTAATAGTTTACTAGAGGCGATGCCAATTAGTAGTGCTGTCTTCATTCCAAAGAACATTACCCTAAATCAGCCAAACCACTAACTAGTAGTTACTTTAAGTACTAAAGTGTGAGCTACTAAGGGTCTAAAGATCAGTTATCTATAAGCTTCAGTTAACTGTTACAACATAGCAAAACAACTATCAGAACCACTTATCCATTCGATTTGAATTTTTTTTTACAATTGATACATTGTTTTATTGTACACAGGATGTGTCTCTTGTGTGTGTTTGGTCTTCTCTACTAGCCAAGGAACTAAAGATCAAGGAAAGGCCTTAGTTTTCTTTTCAATATAATTTTACTAAGCATTTAGGGGCCCAGAACTATACTGTTAACAATGAAGAAAAATTATAGAAAATACTTTTAAAATTATAAATAATTATTTATGCCTTTGAGAAGCTTTCTTATCAACTGAGGGGGTAAATATACATGCAAAAACAAATTTAAAAAATGTAGCAAGTTACAAGTATATTTAGAATTGGTGTGGTCCCAAGGAAATCAAAGTAAAAGGTCTAAAGAAAGTGAGGATTGAGTTTAGAAGGGCTTTGAAAGAAAATGACGACGACGAAATAGTAGTAGTAAAGCAGTTCCCAGATGGGAAGATGACTAGCAGAGAGAGAGAGACAGGAAGCAACTTAGGTAAATTCTCTGAGTATAGAGACCAGAGGATATATCTCTATAACCCAATTGCACCAACCAATGTCTAGTACATAAAAGATGCTCAGTAGTATCTTTAGGTTGAAATGACTTTTAGTACTAGCCCTGTGATTCCAGATAAACCACTGTTTCCATTCAAATTTCCCCAATTTTTAAAAAAAGACTCATAAGATTATTAATCTTATACATGAAAGCACTTACTAGAATATGAAGATGTTATTATTAAGATTAGACTACCTAGAGGAGTTGTATATTGATACACTGGACGAGACTGGATTAGGAAAGTGAGGCTAGGTACAATGAAGGGCTTTTGGATGTTAAACCGAAACTGAGATTTAATCTTATAGAAAATGACTATAGGCTCTCAAAGACATTTTTGTTTTTTGTTAATAATGGTTTTGATATAATTCATATACCATAAAATTCACTCTGTTAAAGTATATATTTCAGTGGTTTTCAGTATAATAGTTCTATAACCATCATCACTATATAACTTTGGGAACTTTTTCTCTCACTGACATACAGTACAGAACATTTAAATATTTGATCATCATTAACTCCAATAGCCTCAGTTCCAATCTTAACTATATTCTATGCTCACCACCAGACCTTTTACTAAAGCCTATGGTTTCAGCTCATTCTCTAATGGATTTCTCAGAAATATCTCATAATATTCTCTGACTTCTAGTATGTTCATGACTATTTGTAGTCTTTATAACTGAAGTCAACTTGGCTGGATATAAAATGTTTGGTTCATATTTTCTTTCCTTCAGTATTTTCAATATGTTGCATCATTGACTTCTGTTATGAAATACTGCTAGTGAGACATGCAGTCCTAATCTTTTCTCTTATGAGTGACTTGGTCTCCAAAAGACCAAGTCACTCATAAGAGAAAGAAAAGATTGGTCTGCTTTATTTTGAAAGCCCAGTATTTTACTAAAATACAGCCTCTATGGATTTATCTATTTCAGGTATTTCATCTAAATGGAAGTGCACAGTATGTGACCTTTTGAGTCTGGCTTCTTTCAGTTAGCATGTTTTCAAAGGTTCATCCATGTTATAGCCCATATCAGTACTTCCCATTAGTATTTCAGTCCTTATTATAGTTGAATAATGTTCCACTGTATGTATACAGCACAACTTGTTTATCCATTCATCTGCTGATGGACATTTGGGCTGCTTCAACCTTTTGGTGATTATGCACAGTGCTGCTATGAACATTGTGTGTACATATTTATTTGGGTGCCTGTTCTCAATTCTTATGGGTTTATACCCAGAGTGCAATTGCTGGGCCATATAATAATTCTATGTTTAACTTTTTGAGAAACCACCAAACTACTGGCTGAGCCATTTTACATTTCTACCAACAATAAATGAGGATTTGTTGATATGTTTTAAATAATTTTTGTTTAATGCTTCTTCAGTGACTTCAATTATACTAATATTAATTACTCTTTTCTTACCTTTATATTTGTAATTTCCTTTCAAATCCTATTTTTCTCTTGCATATCCTTTTTCTTGCTCTTCTTATTGTGTTGTCTATTTTTATGTTCCTTCTAATTTAGTATCCATTCAGAAATGACTTTTTCCTATCTTTTCAGGGCTCGGTAAGTATTCTTTTTATTTTTATTGCTTTATTTCTGAGTTTTTCTATTCCTGAATTATGCTGTTTTAGTCATATTATTAATTTCCTTTATTTTATAACACAATCTACAGTTTTCATCTGCTTTGTGGGCATATTTTTCTGATGTTTTCATTGTGTTGTAATATTATTCTATTAATTTCTAGCTTTCTGGATTACAGTACATTTTATGGGATTTAAATGAAATCTTTTTGTTACTCATGTTTAGATGAAATGGTTTAACATGGACTCTGCATTAAGTGAAATAATTTCCCAAGAGGTTGCTAAACTTAAAAATAAATAAATAAAAGAATTCTTCACAAAGAGTGGATGCAGGTATCAAAATTGAAAGCCCAGTTTTATTATTTTGGAGCAAGACAAGTATTTAAAATTTATTTTAAATTTAGTAATATTTAAGTAACTCTTTTCTTGCATATGATATAAACACTTCAGCTGCTAAAAAAAATTAGTCATTGGTAAATATTATGTCAAGATTAAAAATTTCCATCTTTTACTTAATGGTTATCCTCCTAATGTCAGAGAATTTTAGAATTCAAAGAGATCTTAGACACCATAAAGACTATGATTATGACAATTAAAATTTAGATAATGAAGCCAGGGCCCATCAAGGCTGCTTTTATTTCTGGGGCTACCCAATTAGTTAGTGGCAAAAGAGCACTTTGAACCCAATTCTTACTCCCAGGGCTAGGCAGCAGAAGTGTTATCAAGTAATTAGCCTTAAGGAAAAATGTGTTTCTTTAGCTACAATACATACGTTTAACTTACTAACAATATTCACAGCTACGAGAAAGCAAGCATCTACCTAATACGTGGCAGGAATATACACCATACATTATCTGTGATTCTTATCATACTCTCCAACTTTTTTTTAATAATTAAAGAAACTGTAAGATAGAGTTTAGCAATTTACCTAAGATCATACAATAAGTAGTTAGTAAGACTTAAAATCAGCTTAACCATAAAAAAGTCTGAGCATCTTTCACCTCATTGTCTTACCCTGGCCACATTATAACTAGAAAAGGCTAAGTTAAAAAGAAACAGCTGATTTCAACCCTCAACTCAAATTTTCAAGTGATATCCAAAAATGTTTTAAAAAGCAAAAACAAAAACAGTTAAAGACTATATTACATATAGACTTTATTTGGGTTACAATCTTTTTACTTTCCTACATTTGATCTTGAAGATTCATTTACAGAAAAAAATAAAATAAAACTGATCATTAAGCCATCTTTTCCCTAAAATTCATTAAGGATGAAATGATTTCATTCTAGGAGGATCTCTCAGCCTTAAGACTGTGGCCTTCACTTCACCCAAGCCATTATTAAATCAACCACTGCTGAGCTTTTCTAAAGTGATGATTCTCAAAATATGGTTCTTAGATCATCACTATCAGCTGAAATGGAGTCAGGAGACAGATGAAAAATCAGGGCATAATGTGCAAAGCAGGAATTAATATTCCTAGAAATGAAAAGGACAAATAGAAAGGCAGTTTATCTAAATAATATTATAGGATTAACATTACCACTTATTTGTATTTATTGTAGTCATTACTATTCTATTTCTCATCTCATAATTCTTTCAAAACATCCAAACTTTTCCACCAAGATAATTCCTTTCTAACATAATTCTTAACTACTGGAATCCACTCTATGGCACAAAATCAAAGTAATTTTTGTATTCAGTTTCCTATTATTCCACTTTGTCTTGACCTTAATCCACTGTCTAGATAATCTTCAAAAAATATACAACAGCTATACTGTTTTCTTTCTAGACATAAGCTAGTTTTTATTTCTTTAACTGTCTTATGGATAACAATGCCAATTACTTTACCTTAAGCACCCTTCAAAACCTCATTTTGGGGGAGAATCCCCTAAGACAAGAAATTAGCAAACATCAAGTTGTACAGCCGGGAACTTGAATCCAGCTCATTAGTTTTGGCATGCTATATAGCAATTTTGATAACATTTTCAAAGGTCCAAGCTAAGAACTTAAAACAATTTGGCAAAACACCTTTATTTTGCACGTGATGAAAAGTGAAGTCCAAAGATATTAGGTGAGCCGCCCCAATCACTAATTGCATTGGATTAAAACTCAGACCTCCTGACATTCTTTGTAATTCTGGCAGTAATAGGAAAAATGGTGAGGAAACAGTCCAAGAGCTAGCTCCATATGAGATCACATCCCCAAATCTCAGAACTAGAAACAACTCTTAAGAGACTCTCAACACTCTCCAGCTAGCCATTTACTCGATCTCCCGCCATGTGCATGCACAGGCATGAAAATACACAGACACACATGC